AAAAGACGGCGAGGATCGTCGGCTCTATTTTCATCATCGACGAAACGGAGGAATAATGAATCTCCATACGATCGAAAATAATCCAGCCCGAGAATCCAGGCGATCCCACGTAATCGCGATCAATGTACAACGCGACCCGTAGCTTTGCACCGCGGAAAAGGTCATTCATTCCGCGAGGATTACTTCATTCCTCGACTTTCGACCCAGTTAAATTCCGTGTCCGTTCAATTGAAAATCCCCAATACGTTCGAGGTCCCCTCCCGTTCGACACCAGGAACGTATTCGAAGGTCCTTCCACGTTCCCCATCCCTATATCACGATTCTGTCCTGGAATTCGAAGGCCATTCTGAACATGCACACACGTGCATCTATGCCTTCATCCAATAAACGACCACCAACCATCAATAATTTCTGTCTATGTTAAAATATTTCATTCACCCACTTTTCCTCAATATTTTCTATTCTCTTGATAATAAAATTATCAAGAGATTAAGTGGTCAGCTTCAATTTTAAATTGCAATCTTTCACAAGAATAATCATTCTGAAGCGCATGCTCGATTGGCAAACGATACAAGAACAGCAGTAGGTAGGATTAGTTTCGTGTCGAATTCACCACTGGTAGAGGAAAGAGGGAATCGTGAAATAGATCGGAACGTGGAGAAGACGGTGATCGGTTCAGGAAATTTGCCAAACAGCAGGGAATCGTCAAGTTGCAGCTGCGAAAATCACGAGCAACTAACTGGCGCGGCGAACGGGGTACATACATACATATATCCGGGATGGTTGGCTACGTTTAATTGGACGATATTTGCCGAACGCGTGTAATCACCTGTTGCACGCAGGAAGCACGCGTTAATAGCGGCCAGGAGAAATAAATGTAAGTGAATTCTCAAACAACCACGTAAATGCTCGTGTCGGTTCAGAAGAGCTACTTATTGTAGAAATAGTTATAAAAAATGTAATACGTCTGTAAAAGCAAAATGAGAAATTTTCTCGACGCGACGGGTCAGCAATCTATTAATAAAAGGCGAAAAGAGCTATCCGAATAGCAAGTCTATTCGATATTCTTCCCTTGGCTACCAAAATATTCGAGCGAGAGAAAAGAGAAATAAGAAGAAAGAAAGAAAGAAAGAAAAGGGGGTGGGTTGAAGCACGTCTTCGTGTTGTTAGAGTAGACATTAACGGGAGTATTTCTTAATTAGTGGGAAGCCTGGAAGGAGCTGTCCCGAGCCAAGTCAGCCACTCCCTCGAGGCCGAGCCCCTCGCAACCTCTTCTCGTAGATCACGATTTGCTTCAAGTGTCTCAAGTTCCTTAAGGTCGATGGAAAAGCTTGTTCGAACGTTGCTTGGCTACAGTGATATTAATCATGCGACTTAATGCCGTAGATGTTAAGAGCTTTCGAGCACATTGTACGCTCTATAAATAATACGAAACGTTCGGAATACAAAACTTTGTCCGATTTCTTCCATTCTCATTTTAACAATAGGTATATGTACATGTATAGTATGTATATTAAACAATCGTGCGGTAGATAAATTTCTGGTAGTAAAACCGGCAGATCAGAAGGATTCCGTTAATTAAACGAAGAAGAGCAGAGATAAATGATGCGAGAACCGATACGGCCGGGGCAAACGGAGATATGTAAGTACTTGGGTAGCCATCGGGAAATAAATAGCAGGGGTTACGGAAATTACGAGATATCCGCCGACAGGAATTCGGCGTAACTCGTATATTAACCCCTGAGGAAAATCCAAGCCAACGAAACTTCTCGATAATATATACCTGTTTCGCGTGCGAAACATCAACGATAACAAAACCAGGAAACTGTAGTTAATAAACTTCACTCCTGACCGAAAACCTTGTACAACGATCGCGAAACATCACCGCATTGAAATTTCAATGTAGATGTACAACGGAATCGCGTTGAAATTATTTTCACGATTGAGATTGACGTTCGACTACAGCTACGCGATAATGAAAATCCAACCTTTTAATACTGCTCCGCTGGATATCGAGAGAAAGAAAGCGGGGGAAAAAAAAAGAGCAGCCAACGAGAAACGAGTACGTTAGTTGGGCTGTAGTAGAAAATAGAATGCAGCAGCTTTGTATTCAATTGTTTCGTCTAAACGGAAAAGTTTAGCCATGCTAGAGTACTATGTATGCCCGAAAAAAAAACTCTCTCCTTCTCTCCATCCATTTTGTAATCAACGGCCTCTGATCGCGATGGCAACCATCGAAAAAAAAGTTGGATCAACGAATAAAGGGCAGGACAAATAAAGCGTATATTGGAAAATTTGAAATTATATTAAAACGCAATAAGAAAAGAAAATCAAAGCAGAGAAAAAAATGATAAAGTAGAATAGTATCTAGGATTGTCTATCGTGTAGATTTGTAGATGATATCGGTTTCTGGCTTCATGGTTGGCGTCGATTGCTCGGCAATTTTGCATATCGATCGCCAGAGGCTATTATTTGAACGTCAACACCGAAAAGCTCGTTTTTCTACACTCTCATTGATGGACCAACGGATCGATCTGTCGATCAGTCGCTCAATCTCGATGTGACGAACCGTGAAACTTCCTTCCATAAACACTTGTTATTCCTCTCGTTAAACGAGACAGATTTTTCTTCAATCATATATGTAGATATTTTTTCAGCAAATGGGGAATGATTTATTCTTTTGGTTTCTATCATAAAAAGGTATTAATCACCTTTTGATACAGCTCAATAAAATTTTAAATAAATGAAACGCGAAAAATAGATTTTGGTTTGACAAAAAGCTAGGAGCTGACTGTTTTGAACTCTCAGAAGGGTGATCTGTGATCTACCAAGATTCGTGTTGTTTCAAAGGTTTTGTTTAAAAAAAAAGAAAAGAAAAGAAAAGAAAAGAAAAAAGGTGTGCGAATCAGTGTGCATTTTTTTCTCCAGTCGAATACTGAGAGAGCTAACGCGATAAGGTGATGCTGACGTGGTGATAAGGAGACCCCGATTGGGTGAGATCGCGTGCTCGACAGAATACGGGCCACGAAACGTAATGTTATCAGAGGCACAACAGCTGCACTAAATTTTTTTCGCCGACAGTTCCACTTTTCGAAACGATAATTCGGCACACCGCACGCTAAACCCGATGGCCTTATTAAATAATATCAAATACTTTGCTAACCGTAAGCGTGTGCGTTTAGTGAACAAAATTCCAAAGATTTCCCTTTTTTCAGAATCCATATATGTACATACATACATACATACATACATACACAGGTATTTATTCCAAATCTCGTGACATCTTGATCGTTCGCGTAGGTAGCCTAATGTTTAAATGACTTGAAAACTCATGTATTCCAGTTGTTGCGACACATGTCTAAACCAACCAATAGCGAAAATGAAAGAATTGCAAAGGATGAAGGGAGATCGAGTCGCAACAAGAGAAGAAAGAAATTGCCCAGAAGCAATCTCTTGATGGATTTTCTGATTAAATGTCCCACGCAGCAAAGCACTCGGGGAGATGCATATTTTTTCATATAATATTCAATAATTCGGTCCAACAACAATTTCTTTCCGTTCGTCCTCGTACGACGCGCCGGTGTCTTTTTCTACGCCCCCTTTGACGGTACAACACCACCACCAACTCTTCAGAGTTAAATGAAATAAAAATTAAGTATTGAAACATCCTGTATATATTACATACAAGCCTGTACTGGGAGGTATCCGTTCATAAATGATTAGAAGCGTCGAAGCAATAGAAGTGAAAGAGATAAAATAGGTTTGTCGGGCTGACAGAAAATAAGAGAGAAGATCAATGAAATATTCATGAGATTAATCGTGAATTCAGGCTGACATTTCGAGCGTAATTTACTCGATAGGAACGATCTCGTCTCGTCTCGTCTCGTCGTTTTTCTTCCTTCTCGTATCTACTTCACTTTTCCGAGACGTTTTCTCGAAATTCCTAAGTTTGCGATTTGCACAACGCGACGGCATGACGTGACAGGCTTATACATCTACATCTACTACTTATACATCGATAAGTAGAAAGTTCAATTCCCTCTGAGACCGAAAATAAAAGTTATGTAATTATTCTGAACAAGCACAGCCGATTTGAATATTTATTAATAATGTACCATCTAAAGTCGAAAAGATAGGTAAAGTTAAATAAGTATCTTAGAAAAGAAAATTTCACAGCCTCCGTGGCGCAATGGGCTAGCGCGTTCGGCTGTTAACCGAAAGGTTGGTGGTTCGAGCCCACCCGGGGGCGTGTTTTATTTTTTATCCCCAAACTTTTGGAAAAAAATGTGCTTTTTATAGATACACATTAGGATTACATGATACATAATTTAATAATCTAATATATACACTTACGATTTAATTATTAATCTATGTTATGACTTTTACAGATGCTTGTAATAAAGAGAAATACAATCAGTTTGGTATGATAAGCATATGCAAATTTCATCAATCGTTTATTGTTCAATAATATTTTTTTTATTTAAACCTGGTGGTTTTTCCAAAATTCTGCGAATCCGTCGCAGATAGTTCTTTTAGCTTCCGCCAGAGGTCTACGAAGGAAAACGGATTCTCGCAACTGAAATGACACTGGCAAGCTAATATCTTGAACGACGAGAATTTTCTAGTCAGTCATTCAGTAGGTGTACTACTGATCACTTTAGCAAGTGATGAATGTCGGAGATGAATCACTGATTAAACTCCGCTCCCTGACTTCCATCATTATCGCAACGACGGTTGTCAGAGGATTTTCTGATGCTAAATTTTTTTATATTTTATAGACGTTTATAAATTATAAATAAATAAATAAATAAATTAAATTTAAATTTAATGGATGGATGTTTTTAATTACTTAAAAAAAACGGTGATTCTTGTTTTTTCTAAGTTGTCGTCGTTTGATACACACACACAGCCGATCTAAGTTTAACATTTTCCGAAACTTTTTAAAGAGTGTGAAGAGCCGTAAAAGACAAAAGAACCAAGATTAAGATGATATAATATACCTATACCAGTGATTCGCCAAGTTCCAAGTATACACCGATGTGTCTCACAATCAGACTAGTTGGTTCGCAAATTTGTCGACCACAACATTACTGGTTATGGTTCTATGGTATATCTCCTCCCAACCTTATTTAACTTTGGACTACGCCGTGAACGGCGCTATACAATCACAAAACATCTGCCGTTGGCGCGATTGCAACTTTCTCTGTTTTATTATATGTAACATATGTACTCTATTCTGTTCATTTATTCCTCCATCGCAACGGCAAGGATTCGACGCGATAACTTTGTTGATCGATCTTTCTTGACAGCTCGTTGAAATTTTAAATACGAAAAATTGTACGACTATCTTAAAAATAATTCACTGTTCGAAAGGTGCAATTTCACGGTCGGTCGGTTCGCAGTCAGCAAGATCGGACTTGCTTTTTTGACGCTTCCTCTCTTCGCAACTAATTTGCACTTCGAAAGGTTCTGGCTTCTAGAAAAGATTCCAGGTCGAGAAACAATGAGATTATCGAGGATCGGTTCGTTTCCTGCTCGAACGGGGCTCGATAATGCGATCATTTTTCCAGATTTTTATGCGAATTTGCCTCGTTTAGCAAAATTCATTCGACTCATCATCAAAATAACAATAATTGATGAGTTAACCATTTTTCAAATCGAACGATTCTCATTGAAGCAATGCTAGATCGTTTCGCGATATTTTTAGTTGGTCGTAAAAAACTGGCAAACAATAATTTTCTCGAACGTTTTCTCGAAGGTGATCGTGGAAATGACTTAAATCGCATCTTGGATACCGCAGGATGCTTTAGCGCCCTCAGGATACCATTATCGTAAATTAGTTTGCTTCAAAGTTGCTTGAAACAGCGAGTGGGCTTATTGTTGTTGGACTAGCCCATCTCGGGGTCGTTGTCTTAATTTCGTTCTAGTTTCTTTGTGCGCATACAGGAACTAATTATCGATATACTTGGAAAGTTTCCAAACTTCTCACAATGCCCATTCCAATGTATTCTTGTAAATTTATCTTACAATTAGAGGAAAAATATATTTCTTCCTTTTCGTCTATTCATCGAATACACGTGATAAATAAAAGAACCAAAGATAATTAATTAATTTGAAAGGCAAGCCTGATGTTTCTTATCGTTCATAATGCAGCAACTTATGAAGTTTCTCAACTTTCTCAACAACTAACAATAAGATGTTTACCGCTTCGTTTAAGTGTTTTACCTGGCAAGAATGTTTCTCATCTTGAAGAGCGCAACTTGTCTCTTTATCCGTAGGTAGTACATAGAACCAGGTGGAACAGCACTCGTCAACCGTGCAGAGTTTGCCTGTTCTGATGTCCTCGGATAACGAGATGAACTTTCGGTTGCTCCGCAGGTATGATACATGGATCATTAGGGAAACTTGAAACTAGTCTTTCAGTTATCATTCGCGGGCCGGCTTGATAATCTTGCTTGCACTCTGTAACCATATTGAGACCTCCTTCTCCTTTTTCTATTTCTCCTTGTTTGTCAATTATAGAATTTCCGATAAAAGGAAACGAAATAATTGTTGTTACAGATATCGATAGCTCGTCATTATTCTCTGAGAGATGCACGCTGGTCTCGTTTTAATTTCAATTCCGTTCTTTCTTCCGATAGGCGGCCACTAAAGAAAAAGAGAAATTCTCGAGGAAGCGGTAGACAGGTCGGGGACAAGCTGATAACTCGAGCGTAAATATTCAGAGCGGATAGAAAAGTTCCCTTCCTCTTTCACGCTTTTCCTCGCGCCACCTCCTCTCGCCACCTCCTCTCGCCTCTTTATGAACATCCTGTTAAATTTACTCGACCGAACCATCCACCTCGAAACTTCCAACGATCCAGCGACCTGTGATTCGTCCTCGGCGTCCTTCTGGCGAAAAACCATCTAGAGTTGGAAAAGAAAGAGCCTATCTTTCTGAACACGAACGATTTTTCATTCTTAACGTTCTTAACGTTCTTAACGTTCTTAACGTTCTTAACGTTCTTAACGACCATGTGATAACCTATGACTGATAACGTCTCACTGAAATTAGTTCAGAAGCTATTCGAATCAAAATTTTTTAATTACAATAATTAAAATTAATCTTTTTTCTTTCCTCTTTAATGGCTAACAATTACTTTTTCAAGAAAAGTAACGATCGTTACGATGTTCGTTTCACGTTGAAACGATGGTGATCGGAGAGAAACGAAATGCTTGCCATCCAGTGGAATAATTAAAACGCTCGTTTCTAAAGTTTTCAGATTGAAATTACTTCCGTTTACGCGAAATGTAATCGAAATTCAACTTTAAAATCAGCATATCTCGACTGGTCATTTGCAGGGCAATTCTTTTCACGATTTCCTATAAGAAGCCCGATCTCGTTTTCCATTAAAAACTCATCGCATCGTTTCGACGCTTTGCTTCAGAGGTGAATTTCATGCACGATATGAAATTATTTCCCACCTTGATGCGCGCGATCGAATCAAAGGCAAAACTTTGTCCCGTCTTTTGTCCTGGTGGCGCACTTCAAACCCGATTCCTCGAATAAACCATTGGCCAGACTGGTCAATTATTCTCGCGAACCACGAAAAAATCGGATTCGCGAACGCTGCTCCTGACAAGTGATTAATCCTTTCGTTGGCAAGAAAAACCTCCTCACGGGCTAGAGAATTTCCTCAGTCCAGCTATCTATGTACCTCGTTTGCCAATTTAGAAAACTTTCCTTCAATTCTATCTCGCTTGTCTATTTGTAACTTTCATTATTTCTTTCCCAGATATCTTGTTAACAAAAATCCCATTGAACCGTGAAACAACCTTGACGAAAAGACTGGCTCTCTTCGTTGACGTTGACGTTGACGTTGACGTTGACGTTGACATAAACGTAAACGAATATCAGGTACCGCCTTCAATTGCAAGTGGCACAATGCACCTCTCTTTTTTCCCAATCTTTGACAAATGATAACTCGAACAATGTTCCACCGAGAGAGGTAACTTTAATCGTATCCGCGGAAAGATAACTTTATGATTTTTCAATAGTGTTTGTATTATATAATACATACGATATAATAGCATTTTTTGTCTCGAATCGTTTGATATTGTTAAGAATTGAGGTATAAAAAGTTTTCACGATAAGAAAGGCTGTTCGAAAAATGAGAAAGTAAAATGTTTGAATGGTTTGCGAATGGATCAGTGCGTTTTTCTCTTCAAAAAGTAAATTTCCTTTATAGGTAGGTGTTAACGTTCACTGTTCTAACGCGTGTAACTACGTCCGGTCATTACGCGGATTTACCCTGTGGGGACTTGGTAACGAAATAAAAAGGCAAACGACTCGATTTAATAGCAAAGACAAAATATTCTCCCCTAAACCCCTCGCCGTTTCAAAGCAACCTTTTTGGTTACTGCGAAAATACTGCTAAACTCTGTGTAGTGACGTTACAAACGTAAAAGTAGAGATAAGAAAACGAAAGGTAGAAGAAATCAGATTCGAACGGTCGTTATTGTCCTTATTTACCTAATTTCCATGACGGTAAAGAACACGAGTACAAGTGTTTCTCTCTTTTGATATTGGACGTTAGAGGAGGTCGCGGCGTCGTTCGTTCGAGTAGATGCAATTTGCCTTAACGACGCGACCGTTAGATTTTTGCCGTGCTTGAAAATCTCGGAAATCTCGAAATCCCGGCCAAAGACGTCAAGATCTTATATTAGATGAAACGTTCGTTTCACTCGGGATAGGAACTGATACCCTTTAATAACGGTTCTTTCGTTAGGTTTCATTAAAATTATTTCTCAACGCGATCATCCGAGATCAACATTAAGAAATTATTAGTAATAAATCTACATAGAGAAATATTTATTTTTAAAGGATTAATCTCCTTTGAAGTAGAAACATCGAAAAAAAGTCTCATCGATATCTGACAATTTCATTCGACAGACAGGGTTTCGCGTAAACGATGGAATCGATTTCTCACCGATGACCAGATTCTATGGCAATTATTCCCAGCGAAGTAGTACGTTTCCGGCAATTTTCGTGGACTGGTACGCGGCGCGGCGCTGATGGGTCGCGCCTCTATGGCTACAGGCTAGTTCACCTGACACTTAAATATCTTCTTATACAGCAATCGATACGACTTTTCATTTTCTATTAAACACTATCAAGTTATTTACGTGAAAACGAAAACAAACTATAGTGAAGTTTAATCGTTTAACTTTGGAACAGCCTGTACACATACATATATGTATAAGTGTATGTATACGTGTGTCTAGCGCTAGGTGGGTGGGCCAACTAGGGTGGAGGAGGGTCGTCGCTGTAAAAGCAACGACCGGAGCTGACCTGAATCCACGGTTGGGGCGGCGATGAAAAGGGAGCAACAAAAGCGCCGCGCGGGACGAGGACGAGAGTGAAAATACGGAAAATAGGCCGTTGTGCGGGGCCACCACCTTGTGGAACCGTCGATTTTGCCGATTTTGCCGATTTTGCCGATTTTGCGGAACGTCGATTCCCTCAGACCTACCTGACGAGCACAATTCCAGAATCTCTAACTTTCATCCGGCCTGCCCGAGGTTAACTACCCGCTTTTCTTCATCTTACATCTTACATCTTACATCTTACATCTTACATCTTATCTTTTGCCAATGCTTTTCTACCAACAACGAGAGATTCTCTTTTTGACACTCGTTTTATTCGTTTTCCATATATTCGTTGACCTATTTTCTCAAAGAATAATAATCTCGGTCGTACAGTAATGAGTAATGACACTTGCCACACGATTTTAAAACGTTTCAAATGATACGAAAAGTTTAACAGTTGGAATAGCGAGTTAGAAATAGCGAGCAGAAAATGAATGCTAGTGTCATAGGATGGTGAAAATGGAACGATATAATCCTATGTGGAAATTGCGTAATTAATATGTGCTCCAATTAAGTGCACGACTCTGCGGGATACCCGAGAGTTTCCATACTCGTTGAACCATTTGTCCATTTCGACACGGACTGCGGATAATTATTTCCAGCCGAGAATCATCGTTATATGTACATACTCGGTTACCATCGTCATCGGCCACCTTCCTATCGAACAGTAAGATCTCATCTCCTCCACTTTAATGCACCATACTTTAATATGGTACCTGAATAATTCCTGATTGCATTCTTCTTATATTAATATGCCACCTCCAAAAACTATAATATCATATATTATTCTATTCTTCGTTACTTTCCAATAATCAATAAAGATTGATTTAATTTTCTGTTTTCAACTAAACAGCATAGTATCTACTTGATTCGAAGTTGGTGAAATTTATCGAATCAGAAGGTTAGAGTAGAGTGTTTTATCAAATTATGCCAGGTGATTGGCGGTAGTAAAGGATCCCCTTGAAGGTACTGCGGTCAAGCGAGGGTTCGACTGGCAAGAAAATCCAACGTGGTCGTAGGGTAGCAAAGTTAGCAAACAAGCAAGGCTTCAACATCGATTACCACTTTACGCAGCTAGACTGAACTACGTACGTCGATGATGCTTATTCGTTTGGTACACAGAGACTTTGGTTAAACGAGACACGTACGAAGGAGAGTTGTTTTTCCTTATTTTAACGATAAACTACACTGTATCGTTACAACAACTAACTTGCCCTGCTAAGAGGTTTTCGACAAAATTTTCTATAGGTACTCGTATTTCGAAATCATTCAATTGATATTGAACAACCTAATACCTGTGGCGGTTCTCCATAGATTTTCAAAGCAATTCGAACGAAAAACGTTGATCCAGGTCGTAACTTCAGCTTGTATAGGTACTCGTCGCGTCGTTTCTTATCACACAGCATGATATCATTCTCATAAAAAATTCAATGCGAACGTGGAAAGAAGAGCGGAATACCACGTTCTGTCGAAGGATTCTGCGAAATCCTTCTCCGACGAATCACACGAATTCGTCGAGGATATGAGATCAATTTGATCGAACGCGTCGCGACGCGTTGCCACAGCAAACATCGAAAGGGAGAAGAATTCGACGCAGGCGAATGTGCCTCGCCAAGTATCCTATACTTTGAAAGTATAATTCCGAGCTGGTCCGTAAAAAAGATCGAACCGCAGCTCGTTCCATCTAATGGAGGCGTCCACGCTTTTCAATTTGTTCCAGCAATTTCCTTTCTTCCTCGTATTACTCGAATACGATTCTATTGCACCCTCTCCCCTCTCGATGAAATATTTACGCAACATTCGACCAAACATAGCTTTCTTCCGTTTACCTTTTCTTTTTCTTTTTCTTTTTCTTTTAATCGATATGTTAAATTCTATAAAAGTTGGATTATTACAAAAACGAAAGACTTACCGTAGGCTCTCTTGTCGTGGAAACTTTTGGAAACACCGCTATTGGACGGTTACCTATAACAAAAAAACAAGTTTCGTTTGATATCTTTCAAAATCCTTTCCCCCCTCTACATTAGTACTTATATTTTCTATTTCGCATCGTAACATACATATTTATGTACCACCTCGTCATCTCTCATCGTCAACAATATTTTATATTTTATATTTTATATTTTATATGTATGTTGGAAGAAAAATGAAGATTTGAGGAGAAGACCGTAACGAGCAACAAGATTACAAGCAGGCTAAAAGTTCCCACGGTTCTGTTTCTATATCGTCCTTAATAAAGCACTATATCACGAAGGATGCATTACATACAAGGGGTAATGGCCGGTGAAATTGCGATCGTAACACGGCGCGAACATCATCGTTACGCGGTTTGTTTCACCAACAAAACGTAAATCATCCATGTGGCTCATTCTTATGCGAGTTTATCGTCGATATTTCTTCCAGTTATGGTAAATCGTCGAATCTACGAGTAAGTTCCAAACATACAAACACAAATATAGGTGTATTTTTTCAAGAGGAATGTAGAACAGAGGAATGTTGCTTCTAACAAAACCAGTTATTCAAAAACACGTATGCAGTATGCAGAGCTCTTCGGCCTAATACGGGACAAAGTGGTAAGCTGTGAACGTAAGGCGTCGGACGTCGCGAACATGGGTTACGCGTCAAGTCTTGGATCGATATTTTTCATTTTCTTTTACAACTCCTTCTAAAACGTGTTCTCAGCAAAGGGCCGGTGGTCGAGGATTCTTTACAGGTGTTGGATACTCTACTTCGAATATGGACTCGAATGAGAAGGAGACTTGAATTTAGTAGAAATTTTCAAACTGATACATTTTTAAGATATTATATAAAATATCACGACTTTAATTAAAAAGTAATAGAAACGGATGAATATACTCTTAGAGACTACGAGAGAGAACTTATGCAGCAACCTAATAATTTGTCAACCTAATAATTGCGAGCGTGTAACCCGCAATAAATTCACGTACGATTCCGGTGTGGAAATTTATCTGATCGCCGCGCCGCGCCGCGACGTATCGCGATAAATTTGCAACTGTTTATGGCGTTTAACCCAACCCCCCTACAATTTTCTTCCTGTTCAAACAATCTCCCCTCGTCGACGATTCATTTTTATGGTAATTAATCACGATATCGAATCGCGGCAACAATCTGTCGTAATAAATTACTACGAGTTTCGTATCAAGAACCTGCTACTAACGATCAATGAAACCAACTTTTTTTACAAGGATTTTACAAGAAATATTGTAAACAACGATAAAACCTGAGCCGAAGGGAAACATTTGGAGCGAATTAAAAGTTACAAAAGATAATTATATGTAATAATGGAAAAAATCTCTACAGTCGATACATACGAGTACCATACCTACTGAAACGAAAGACGCTCTGTAATAAACATAATTTTTTTTAAAACTTATCGTTAGTAAAAACTCGTCAAAATTATACTGAACTCGTTACATCATTTATAAGATAACTAGATCTGGATAGGAAAAATCTTACAAGTTTTCACAGTATTTTCCAGTCTATTATTTCGATGGAAATTCGTGTAACCAGATACGTTGAATTGAAAATCTATTATTTTTTGTCGAACCTATGGGAACCTATGGCTCCTCTCGATTAATCCTGAATTTAAGTTAACATTCTTTCCAGCGAATCTTTTTGTATTTACTGCGAATGAAAATGTTTCTTCCGCTTAATCGGAAACTTAAGCTAATTGTAAGATGGACTAATTTAACAGGGTAATCGGAAATTCATTGAACCGAAAAGAAAAACTCGTACACGCTAGGAGCGATACGTATGTACACAATAATACAGAGGTTTTCCATTCGAATAGGACGTCGACTCTCCGCATTGATTTAGCAAAGAACAGCTACACGACTAATGGCTCCTTTTCGTTAGCGTGTTAAGAGTTAAGCGCAACCGAGGCAACGGTTTTACGATGTACCTACACATTTGCACGCCTTCCTACTCATCCTGTTGACTGAACGACGATTTTACATAGCTCACCCTCTTTATCTATCAAGGTTAACATTCATTTCGTGTGTAAAAACGAAAGAAGAAAAATAGAAAATTATGTTTGCGACGAAATTAAAAGCAAATAAATCGTCGAAAAGACTCTGTATACAGATTATCCTAAACAAGAGAAAGTTTTTTTTTTTTTTATCACCTGAAATGTGAAAAAACAAATAAACTACTTCCACGTGGAATGCAGCTCATTAGAAAACACGTTGAAAGAAAAGAGAAAAAACATAATTTAATTAAACCCGTTGTAACTCGACCCTGGTTTTTACCTCGTCGGTATACAAACTCGGAATTTGCAATGAGGTTACAGGATTTTCTACTATACGCAAGTTCAACTCTTGCAATTATTCTTGTCGTATCCTTTCTTCCGAACTTGTTCCTTCTTCGAAAATGAACACAAAAGCCGCGTAAAAACGAAGTGAAACAGCAGGGGACTAAGTAAATGAAGAAGAAGAAGAAGAAGAAGAAGAAGAAAGAAAAGTTAACAATCATACATAAACTACCGTTAATTTTTGTTCAACATTCAATTTCTGGTCCCTTATACTTGTAAAATCTTATTTAACTTTCAAGTTTCAAGTTCTTTAATCGAATATTTTTCTTATCATAAAGAATAAGATAATGAAAAAGTATCCTGTTAATCATTGGTTCTACTTTATCTCTAGAAAAGTCATTTCCAAAGTAAATGACTCTTGTGCCAAGAAGTAATTAATTTCCTGATGGTAGCGATGGCGGAAAGTTATTAGTCAAAAGAGCAGACACGAAAAACTGTAACCATCCGTAAAATGAAAAGTCTTTGCAATGCGGATGGTCGTCGGTCGTCGGTCGTCGCGTCGGTCGATTTAAATTCACTAGCTTGAATAACAAGTCGACGTTTAATGTTTATTGCATTTTCCACGATCGATATCGTACGATCAAAGGATATATCGATCAAATGGAAACTTTATCTATACTTTTTTCAGAGAACAGAGGAAAAATAGTGAATAACAATAACAGATAAGAGTAATAAAAAGGAAAAAAATCGAAAGTCGATATCAACGTCGAAACAGTTTTACGCGGACTCTGTATATTCGGACTGAACTTGTAGCAGATAAAGGGGAAACAAGAGTTGACAGGAGAGACAAGAGAGTACCGCTACACTTTCTCCAAAAAGCTTTGAGCCTCGGTAATGCTCCTCTCACGGATATAAGTAACTAAGTACATATGTACATACTTTCCAGGTGTTCTTCTCGCTTCCAGTTCACTCGGAACTAAATTACATATTCAGGCTAATGGCTAAATTAACCCCAGACATTGTAAAGCTAAATTTAACGTGCAAGTGGTAAAAAATATCTTGAATTCTTTTTCAAGACTCGACACGATGCTACTGCATGTTTTAATCAGCTGGCTGGCTTCACCTGTTTCTCAACACGACATCCCTACGTACTTGTCTGTTTCCTTTTTTTTCCATGAAACATAGAACTTTTTTAAAATGATAAATATTAGCAATTTAAGCTTTCCTTGGATGGATTTCAAAGGCTTGTAAGAAAGTTACTTTCGCCAAAGTGATTTCATAAGTTCGTCAGCTTGTTGCGATATCTTACGCTTGCTTCTTTCGTAAAAAATTCACGAAGATGGTACATAACTATGCATAAGTTAGCATAGTACACCCCCATGTAACACGAATGATACATAGAAAACGTTTAAAATTATTATATAACGTCCTTCGTAAAATTCGTAAAATTCGTTAAAAAACGAGATAAAAAACGGGATAAATCGAGTGAAAAATCCTAGTTAGAAAAAAGATCGCGAAAGACGAGATGGATCTTCTTTCTGCTTGCACAAGGAAGAAGAATTTTTATGTGCCGCAGTGTCGCTTTATGCAATTACGAATCTTATCGTGTTTGCGCATATACTTTCCCTCCTCGATACTACCTTTGTCATCAATTTTTCACACGAAACGAATGAGATCAACTTGTCGTCAAAAGAAGAAATCAAACGATAAATACATTGAAAAGAGATTCTTTTTCTATCAGCAAACATTTAAAACCACCACGACGAAATGAATTTATCCGGAAGCACGATACCACCGATCTTTGCTTTAATTCACAAAGCGATCGTCTATTTTCGTTGCTTACCATTCCAGCGTCGCGTCGGGCTGGAATAACGATAGAAAACAATGGAGAATACGTGGTGGCGAAGAGGATAAACGTACAATGGAACCGCGAATAAATAGAGATGAAAGGGAAAACGAGATACATGATTGAGTAAATGAAAATTGTCAAAACAAGTTACTAATTTCACTAATTTCAACTGAATCGAATCGAATCGAATGCTATCTTATAAATCTTGAATCCTCTTTTTTTAACAGCCTGTAAATGTATATGAAAATATAATAATTGACTTGCTAATCTAAACTCTCGTTGCTTGGTCGCAACGAGAATTGGATAGGAAACCGCGAACAGCACGAACAATTTGATGGCCAGCAAACACCCCATCCGTTTGCAGCACAAGTAAATCCCCATGTAACTAAGTATATATGTAGAATGTAGAGGATATGTGTCGAGAAGGATTCGAAAAGGACTCTCATAGTTGCCTATTAAGCGACTAATTATCGTACACCTAATTCCAGGTTTATTTGCGAATAAGAAACTACTGAAGCTATCTGAAGCTATCTGAAGCAATTTGAGAACACTTGGAGTTTTTTCTTTTTAGCTTGACTAGCATAATAAATGTAGCAATGTCTAATTATTTCATCCAACATTTCTCGACACTCTTCTACGAAACCTCGGTTGACCAACAATGAAATGGGTGTCGCAACTTTCTCGAAGAGAATTAATCGTGTTTTTGTTGGATTTCTACACGTGCGAATATCTTGAGGGGAAAAAATCGAAGAGTCGAGAAGGAGTTTTCGCGAAGAACGATATCGAGGAGGCTCTTCTAAACGTTGATCGAGTTTCTATGAAATCGGAAGGGCTTCAATGGGTATTATTATGGCATAAGGGGAGCGTGGTCCGTAACGACGGTAATTCTACTGGTCGATAAGCGATTGTGGCGACCTTAAAAGGAGTAAGATAAGCAACACGTGAAGAATCTTTTTGGTGTTCACGTGGCATACGACCGTCGACTCTTATCGAACTACCTTCAAGAAGCATCAATGAAGCTCCCAATTCTTATCGCGCGAATAACTCCAAGTACGATGACCGCAATTTTCTCCAACCAATCGATTTTTCGTATCGATCTTTCTTATCCAACGCAAGAGAAAAAATCAAGGAACTTTCAAGTTTTATTCCCATTGCTTCTCTAAAGGTGGCCACTTAACAATTAGGTAAGTCTTTGAAAACTTTGAAAAATTTCATTAAATCATCTAAACTTCCAAATCCTAGGTATCAAAAATGTGAAGAAAAATCCTTCAACGGTATTTTTTCGGTTCTTTTGTATCCAGAAATTGAACGGCATTCTTTTCAAGTTTCCCGTGTCGCACCTACATACCTATATAGGTACGTACGTATTTCGATAGAACATAATCTCAAGCATCCTTTTTCTCTCGAAAAATTCTAGACTATCGTCTCGAACTTTTATCGTTCGCCTTTCAACAATTTTTCATTGAAACGATAAACATAATTTCAGACTAGGTAAGTCAGGAATTTTTTATTTCTGCAAGCTGCAGAAAGCTGCAGAAAGCTGCAAGTCGGAGTCCTGGCGATGCTTCTTCCAGTGTTCGTTAGCCACACAGAACAGAGTCTTTGATGGTAGCTCGCGTGAAACCGTTTCTCGTTCGTGTTTCTACGCTCTCGGAATAGTTAAGTAGGCTGTTAGCGCAATACGAAAATATATGCGGTGCTTGCAGGTAACCGGGTCCGCTGCGACGAGCGACGAGCGACGAGGATCAAAGAAAAACTTTAATTATCGCGTTTAAAGCCCCGACCCTTGTCCAGGTGAAACCGTTCTACTGACTACTGAAAACTATTTCACCCTTTTATTTCGAAATTCAGCTAATATCAACTTGCCAACAGGTAGCTACAGACTGCTCGAATTTACACGCCCTGACATTGTTCTTAAATATACGTATACATACATATAATAAGAATGTATACAACTAATTGCAATAACAATACAATACTTTAATTTGAAATATTTACCCTACATAGCTATTTCTTCGGGATATAGTACCCCGTAAGATAAGAACATCAGAGGAAGGATGAAACTTATTAGAATAAAAATTCATTAAAAAGTCGCGAGTCCGTTGGCACAAGGTAAGGAAACGTTACCGTTCTTAGCTAAGAGTCATGCAAAAATATATAACCAATAATTTCACGTCGTCTCGTAGAAACGACCGACATTAAAGAAAGTTGATGGCCCAAAGAAGTTAATTGCGCGTGACACAAATTGTATCAGCAAGAAAAAAGGAATTAAAAGACTTTCGTTAAATAGGTTGTCGCTGAAATAAAAATGAGCACGGAACGGATAAAGTAACTGGGTTAAATTAGCTCCACTCGTAACGAGCACCAAAAAAACAATACTAAACAAAATTAGACAAACTATTTGATTATACATAATATGTATGTACATATTTGGACTGCAATAAATTTTCGTAAGAATATTTAAGTTATTACAAGTTTGAGAATATGTACGTCTTTCTAAAGAAAATATTTGTAAATACGTCGTCCTAGAACTATGTAGTAACGAATAGGGTACGAATAGGGTAACAATTAACAAAACATCTCTATGAAAATCTACGTAGGTAATAATCGAGCGAAATTGTAGGATTCCAACGTAATCTGGTAGACAATAAACAACTCTAACAATGAGAACGATACCGCCGCGCCACTATATTCAGTTATAATTCTAGCAATAAATCTGACAATGACGTTTAACCAATCATCGCGAGTGTCGTCTAGGGAATCAACCAATCAGGCGTCACCAATATTCATAATCTTCCCTACGCACCGAGTAATTACCACGGAATTTACATTTCAATCGTCGACAATTGAATCTCTATGAAGTCGAAACCTTCGTCGTGATTCGAGCAATTAGAAAATTCCAGGAATTGCAAGGCTTAAATTTACGCCGCGGTCGTAGTGTGGCGGCTTTTCATCACAATTATCTATTTATTTCATTCGAATCGATGTCACCGTGACCGGGACGAATTACTCGTTATTTTATTTCACCCACAAATTGTATAAGTAAGCCTAAAAGCAAAAAAGCATAGCAACGTTTGAATAAACAGGGAGAAAATATAATTTCAACCGCGTAAAATAATCCATTTAAGTCAACCGTGGCTATACGTTTAATGCCAGTACCTGACCCGTGTTTAAACTAATCGCTCGGTCGCGAGTCCGTTGTTAATTAGAAACGCGGTGAAAACAAGGATATTTCCCGCGCAAAATTCGTCTGATCGGTGAACGTAACGGAACAAGCAGAAAACTATGCTTTTGTCGAACGAATTGAAAAATAAAAGGAATAATTATAATAATATTCATTTTTGTCAAGATTAAAATTATTAAGCGAAAAACATGCTAAAAGTAGAACGATAATTTTTCAAAAATATCGAACCTCGTTCGTTCGTTCGTTCGTTCGTTCGTTCTTTCGTTCTTTCTCTCTTTCTTTCTTTCTTCATCAAGCATACTTCAAGATCAACAACCTAATTAATGTCGTTAATTAGGTTCGAGTGGCGATGTCGTGAATTGAGAAATATAATAAAAAAAAAGTGTGGAAACGAGGCTACGATGTATACGCGGTATAAATATGAACGACGATAGATTTCTTCTAACGTTAAGATTTCAAAGGTTGTTTCGTAACTAGGTTAACCCTGACAAAATTCAGGACGCTATGCACATCCAACCGGTGGAGATTCGTAAAGCTGTGCAAGAAACGCTTTAGCTCGGATATTTACCCGCGAAACCGGCAGTAGGAGTAGAAAGCGCGATAGAAATATTTACGTAATTTGCCCTTTATGCTATAGACGCCGAGAGACAACTCGGTTGCTAAATTTGGTAGATTTAAGGGCCACACGAGTGAACTGTGTTTTTTTCTCTTTCTTCTTTATACATACAAAGTTACACAAACATCAAACACCGGTGTATTCCTCACTTTTAGAGAAGAACGGCTCAAAGATGTGTAACTAGGTTAATCTTGATAGGCACGGAATTCCTCTTGGGATTCCTAAATCAGCAAAGGTATCGAGAACACAGATAGATCGATAATTCCTCTCATTCACATCAAACGAATCGCTTTTACAATTGTAAAATTGTTAAAACAATTGTACAATGCGAAATATTGAGGAAACATAAGTCCGTAAGACATTTATTTTACCCACTATTTCAAACGTCTTGAATTTTCGCGGTATAAACACGAGGGCGTTCCACAAAGTCGTAACTAGGTTATCTCTAACTTTCACGGTACCACAACATAAATTTCACAGGGAAAAAGGAAAGAATAGAAGAAATGATTCTTTACTCACCCCCGAAACAGGTGATTGAGATTGACGACGACGACGACGACGACAACGTCGACGACGCCGATAACGATGGCGACGATGACAGGTTATAACCTTTGATTCCACCGTGATCGAGGATACCTCTTGACAGGTCGACAGCTCGAGGTATCATACGCGAATGTAAAAAACGTTACGATCGAAGGAGTAGAACGCGACGCGAACGCATATCGACCTGGCCGATCGCGGAAATAACACTCACTGAACCGTTCGTTCGTTCGTTCGTTCGTTCGTCGCGAACGTACACAGCAAAACGACAAACGATGACAACGACGGCAACAGCGACGGCGACGGCGACGACGATGACGAGCAAAGGGTAGAAAACGTTTCCTTGCTTCCACTACCGACACCGCCCTCGCGCCGCGCCACATTCACGGAAGTACTGAGCAAGCGCGACGCCGCCTTGACTCTGCGCATGCGCACTCCACTTAACCCGCACCTGTTTCCAAGCTTTCCGAACGAGACACACAGAATTATTCTCGTGCATCGCTAAACTTTTTGAAAGCACGTTAGATCTTCGCTATAATGTTTCCGACATGTTTCTGTCACCTTTGTCAAACTCTGCCCACCACATTTGTCAAACTTCCAAAATTAAGACACCTACATTCTGCAACTTTCGACGTTCGAACGAGCTTCTAATTTAAGTTAAATTCCTACTGTTGTTTTCAATATCTTTTGTATCACTGCGATTCTGCGCGATAGGTACTTTTCTTTTTTTTATTTATTTATTTATTTATTTATTTATTTATTTATTTATTTATTTATTTATTTATTTATTTATATACATTTCTCAGTTGTCTTTATCTTTTCTTTCAGGCGGAAAGCACATCGTTCATTTTTGAAAATTATCAAGTTATCGTAAATTAAATCTGTGAAGGACTTAGGAAACGATATCATCTCAGTTTCTTACAGCAACAAAAATGCAAATTAAGTATTGTTTGAGATTAGCGCGCGTCGCAGCAGCGCGTTATGCATTTTAAATTTTAACGAACAAGGATTATTTTTGCAAAGTAAGGATCAACTTCTTACTTCTTCGTTAGTTGTAAGTATATATAATATTTAGTATGAAATAATAGTAACAATACATTTTCGATTTGTTACATCTTTTTTATCCCCCGAGTAGAAAAGTAGACTTTAGAAAGTGAAAGAAGAAATAAGAGTCCCGTGGGATTGAGACCGATAAATTATAAAAATAGGTACAGAAAACTATGAAAAATCTCCATTATATGAAACTATATATAAAATACGAGAATTGAATGATCTTTATATGTACAGTTGTACAGTGAAATATGTATATTTTTATTATTAGCATGATAAAATGATTCTTATCAGGTGTATAAGTCTGTGGTCGCGTTAATGCAGAAACAAAATCGATGTGGAATCACTGCGACGACGGTTACCCTTAGACTTTAGACGATGCAGATTCGATTAAAGTCTGAGGTAGGAAAAAGTTTTCCAATCAGAACGGTACGTGCTCGGTGGGCCTTTCTTTTTCCGTCGACCAACTAGCGAGAGAGACAATCGATGAGTGGGACGAAAGAGGAAAGTTGTCGAGTATCCACAGGATATCTTTCCCAATGAATTCTTCGATCGAGCTTTAACATGGAACGCTGTCTATAATGTTACTGACTATTTAATAGCTTTTCACTTGACCTTCTCTATCAATTCCATTTTCCATTCCCACTTGAAAGTTTCTGTAAAAGAAATGATTTATTGCCACCAATAAAAACTCCAAAATTATAGACATCAAATATTATTATTCATTTACATCAAAAATAAGATTCTGATGGACGTTAGCTTGAAAGGAAGAAAATTATAAAACAATTTGATACAGAATTCAATTGAATAACAAGAAAAGAGAAGAGAACAGCGTCCTCGTTTCCATGGGCAACGTGCGCCAATGGATCAAACTGTATCACGTGTTTTAAAATTCTACCAACCACCTTTATTAAAGAAAATTTAGTTCCATCAAAGTCCATCGTATCATGATTAGCCTTTCTGTGTTTGAAACTTTCTATAATCAAGAATTAGATAAAAAGGTAAACGAATACCCAATCGAATCGCATTTAGACATTTAGACATTTAGACATTTAGACAGGATATACCGAAGTAAGTATGCAGCTATAATAAGTTTCGTTAAAATATAAAGAAAATGATACGATCGTTATAATTTATTTGAAAGTAAAGAGGGTATTACAGAAATCACTCTGATGGCTCGATTTGCATTTAAATGAAACTTAAATTGTTCGAACTAATAAGACGTTGTAAAAACATTCTGTGAACGACTGTACATACGTGAGATGAACGAAAAAGGAACAAAGACAATCGAAAGAAAAGTGAAGAAAAAGAAAATATTGTACCTTATACCTATTGTACTTTATTCAATTATTTTTATTATTTTTCTAATAACTTTGAATGAGAATACCCAGTTAAAGCAATCTTCTCGCTAGCTAGAAAATGAAACTCCTTTAAAAAAATTTTCCCAAAATTTTAGGAAGACGATATACATATTTCTTCGAGCAAATACGTAATTATCTACTGACACAACTGTATAGGTATAAAAAGTCGGATCACTCAATGGCTGCATTCGCAACAAATGAAGCTGGTGGTGGTTCTTCACGGTTCTCCTCGTCGGAACGTGTGACAATTCTATCGATGCTCGAGGAGTATACAAATGCGCTAGCCATTTACCATAGTACGCTGAAAAAGCCAACGAGACAAGATAACGATATCCTTGTTAACTGCATTTCCTTCCATTCAAAGTACGTTGTCGCACGTTTGCACGTCGACAGGAATTTCATTACGTATAAATTATATGAAATACTTTTCAAGTTTTAGTCGTGATATTCCTAATTAAAATTATTTTGATAGTAACTGAAAAATAATGTTAGCACACAGATGAAATTCAAGGGTTTACATGTTACAGAGGCTTGTTAACGTCTGTTAACCTTGACAAAACTATAAATACAGAACATGCAGAAGAAGACAATGTCCCTGAAAAACTTTACGGAGAGAGGTTGGTATTCTGAATTAACTTAAATGATAACGCTAAATTAATAACATGTTATAGCTTATTATATATCAGGAAAGTTATGGAGAACTTGAAAGAAGAGATTCGCGAATACGGAACTTTCGAAATGTTGACGAACGAGATCGAACGAATTACTTGTCATAAAAAAGAAGAAGAAGCTTTGCTCCAGCAGCAAGAAGAACTGAGGAAAACCGTGGCTGAACTGCAGAAAATAATTGCCGACGAGAAAATCGTCAACGAGGAAAAGAAGAAATGTATATTGTACGAACTTTCCGAAGAACAGGTATCGCCATCCTGTTTTTTTAAGAATACATAAGATTTTGTTAAAATACGATTTTATTTCTGCAATAACAGAGAAATATAAAGAAGTTAAAAATAATTGCGGATGCTGAAGAAGAGTATGTTATGGCTCGGGAGAAGGCAAAGTACGAGCAAAATCAGCTACGTTGTGATACCGAGATAAAAAAATTAGAGAAAATGTTCAACGATTACCGTGTACAGGAAAAAAATGAAGAGCGTGTACATGTTGAACTGACGAAATTTCTAATTCAGGAAACGGCGGTAAATGTTGTACACACACATATCTAACTAATCAGAAAAAACTAGAAACCAGGATTTTAAACAGCTTTATCTTTTATATTCAAATCGACAGTTGTTCGAAGAGCAAGCGAAACAATGGGAGGAACGGTACGTTCGAGAGAAAGAAATCTACGAGAAGGAGATTTGCCAGTTACGTAGTGACATAGAATCACGTCAAAAAGAGTTGGAGCAACTTAAAGAAGAGGTAACTTTGAGAAATATTACCTTCCTCTGCTGTTTCATTGGTGAAGATCATTTATAAAAAAAAAAAAAAAAAAAAGACAGATGTTTAGATTTTGTTTAGTTATACATACATTTAGTGAATATCAATTGTGTTAATTTTATTGGAAATCAGGCTTAATAATTTGCTTCTGTAACTTTAGAATCTACGTGCAATGCGGAAATTCTGCTAGGAAATCGATAACTCGTGTCAAGAACCTGATTCTGACTATGTATCTTAATTCACACGAAATTTTATAAACGTGAAAAAATGTACAATTTTTTCGGGTAAATCATTTCGCTATAAATGTTGATCATTAATGATCCAATTGGATCGATTATTTAAACGAAAACATAATACTGTTGTTGCAGTATCACTGTAACCAGGGGTTTATAGATAGCTGTTTGGCAGAGAAGGAAGCGCTTAAAAAACAAAAGGTACAGGAAGAACGAATGCGAAAAAGCGCGGTCAAGATCCAAGCCTGGTGGCGAGGTATTATGGTACGCCGGAAGTTGGGGCCGTATCGGCCAAAAGAAAAAAAGAGAAAGCGACAAATTAAGGCGAAGAAATAACTTTTCTGTTTAGCTTGCTCAGTCCATCTCCTTAGAAGAGCTGTTGAATAAAATAATATTTATTCTTCTTGGTAACAAAAGTTAACTTTCGTTTGTGTGAATTACGAACAATGTGTTTTTCGATAAAAGCTTTCAAATATATTACAAGTAAAACAATACAATAAAATTGTACGGAAGAGGATAATTTACAACAATACTAAACACAGAATTGATTGACCATAGCTTGTTACTCTTTTGTGACTAAATTTCTCCCATCACTGTCGATAACAAGCGACTGTGCATTTTCCTTCATAACAAATTCACGAATTCTCTAACCTACTCTGTTTGAAAGCATGCAAGCTTACCGCCATGACCGTGCGGCCAGCCACCTCCTTAGATTACGATACTTATAAGCAGTGCACGCAGTCAATGCTGTATGTACATAAGTATTTACATACACATGTATTATATTTAAGCACATACGCAATGCCTCCTGACTCAGCTTTATAAACTGTACATTGTAAATTATAACACAACAAAATAAAAAATGATACATATCAAAAGTGTGCAATGGAGCTTACTTGTTTACATTTCGCTTTCCGATCATTACGTTACAAATTAAACGAGTATGCAAATTTTATTTACCAAAATCTTTTCCGACTACTTTTATACACTAGAAATTCAATACTTATCGATAAACAACAAAATGACCAAACAATGAAATTCAATGTTACCTGTTACAATAACGCGTCATAACCAACGATCGATAACTATCAGTTATCCTTCACACGTATCCACACAAACATTCCTTTCTACACATATGTACATAAATACATATACTTTCCCCTTGCATCCACATAAGTATGTAGTAAGGTGTATAGAGATTCATTGTTGTTGCACCTTGCTGCTCCGTTATCTCCACAATTCTGGGTCAACTACAAGACGAATCGAAGGGGAAAATACCTGAATGTGAAGAAAAAGAAAGAACGCAGACGGAAAGTGAAACGTGCGCTAGTAAGAAACAGTAAAAGAAAAACAGTGCAAATTAAAGAAAAACAAACAAATTATTAATTATTAATTATATAATACTTATTCATTGTATCGACAAACAATTATTTCTTCCTGAAAGGTGTTTTTACAAGGTTTCGCATTACGGGAAAATCATAGGTGGATATATATATATTTATATATGTACATATATGTATGTAAATAAAGTGAAAAGTTGAATAAAGTATACATTAATTTGCAAATTATTATTACAATTTTAATAGACTCAAAACTACACAAAATTTAATTATCTCCGTCGTACTTTATAACTGAACTTATGTAAATTTTAATAATGAAATAGTTTATGTATGTATGTACATACTTATTTACATACAATAATAACACTAAGGCTAACCTAGTCTTACTCGAATTTAATTCGTACCTAACCTATTTAATATAAAATACTTTTCATATGCGCCGCGGCGTGGCGCTAAAAGTCATTAGATTATTTAACATATTCGACTATTATTTGTTATTATTACAAATCAAAGAGTTGAAATTGAAAAAAATTAATAAATCTATCTAAAAAGTACCTTTGACTATAGAATAGGCTCGTATTAACACCAAAAACTATTTATAACAATGATAAAATTGTATTAGGAATGGCGCCAAGGTGTCGCCATTTTCATGAAACTTTACCAAGACAGTAAATCGAGAAGGTTGTGGGGAGGAACAATTCCTCACAGCGAGTGTGTGTCGGAAAACTGCAGAAAAAATTGCCAAAAAGCAAGAATAATGTGATGGTCGTAAGTATATCTTCCTTCAATGCTATTTTTGATCGATTTGAATCGCTTTTGAGCACAAAACACGGGGCCTATGGCATGGGACTTCCGTTTAATGAACAGGAACAGGAAGTTCCTCACAATCTGAAATGGCAAAATAAAAACATCCTGTACTGAAGAAAATTTTGAAAAATATATACGCCACGCTTTCGAACAAGTAGGCAAAAGCAAGTAAATTGTGTTAATTCTGTTGAATAAAAGTTAAATTTTAATTTTACGACCTACTTTCAATTCCGGCAACTCAAGGTCGAGCAACAGTGACGAATAACTCAAAGTGAAAAATGGAATGGTCACAGCTAGTTCTTTTTCCTTTAAAAAAAATCCAAATGATATCAATTGTTATGGATCATTTGATTTTAGTGTACATCAAAAAGAAGAGGACTGAATTAAATATACAAAAATGCAAGCTGAAACTATTTGCACTAATGATATTGAGGGTCTGGATTCGGACACTCTTATCCCTGTATGTACTTTTCATGTAAACATAGTAACACATTGCTATTTTTTATTTAAACATGTTATTCAATCTATAAATATCCCTTAGGTTGAAATACTTTCCTGCGATGTTTCTCATCGTGCAAGATCTCAAGATGCCTTATCGATAGTGGAACTAGGAAAACAGTTACTTTTTAGTGCGAAGTATGGAGATACCGATAGTGTCCGTGACCTGATGTGCAGAGGTGCACCCTTTACCACTGATTGGGTACATATTTCAATGATACGACTATATCATTTTTAAAATACCCCTATAATAATTAACGATTGTAATTTCTGTTTTTTCTTTTTATTCTATAGTTGGGTACAAGCGCGTTGCATTTTGCTGCACAAAATAATCATACAGAAACTGCAGAGGTTTTACTTAGGGCAGGAATTTCAAGAGATGCAAGAACAAAAGTGGATAGAACGCCGTTACATATGGCTGCGTACGAAGGCCATCATCAAATGGCACAATTACTTCTTAATTATGGCGCAGATGTTGACAGTAGAGATATGGTAATTAATATACGGTTCTACAGGCAATACTCGTGTACAACATAGTCAATAGGAAATATGTTTACAGCTAAAAATGACCCCTTTACACTGGGCAGTGGAACGAGAGCATGTTGAAGTAATGCATGTTCTGTTAGAGCATGGAGCAGATGCAAATGCTACTAGTAAATTTGACAAAACACCAATTAGTCTTGCATTGGAACATGATAGATTAGATTTGGTAGATATATTGCAACAAGAAAGGGAGGTTGTAGGTACTAGAATTCATCAACAAAGTCAAGCAAATTCTGCTGAACTTGAAGTAGCAACTCATAACTTAATACAATTAGAATCTGAAAGAGATGAAGAAAAACAAAAGTTCGAATTACCACAACAAGAATCGCAACAAAGAAGAAAAATTACACAAGGTGCGGTGTTTGACTTTTATGGTTTTGAGTTTTTTCCATAAAAATTTATATTATTATATTTATTTCTCTTAAATGTTTAGTGCAAGTGGGAAAGAAACCACGAATGATTTTTCAACAAATTCACGTTGGATCAAATGCTGATGTTACTCAGGAAAAAGAAATTGAAAATGTAGATGAAATCACTAATGCAAATAATGTTAACAATAATAAAAAACGTAAAGATGTTACGACTGTAGGAGGAGTAAACAAACAGTTTAGGTTACTAGAAGCTCATGGGATTACAATGATACCTGTAGATAATGATGCGTCTATAGTCGAAAATGCTATGGAAAGTGGAAGAACAGTCGTTTTAACTGGTACGAAATGTTTAAGAAGGATGATCGTTATAATTTTTATACACGGTTTATTGTGACGATTAATTTAATTTTATAGAGGCTGGTAAACTTGCTTTAAATTTAACGAGAAATACTTCAATAGGAATGAAACGACTTCATGTAAGTGGAAAGAAAGGAGCTCCGAGAAAAGTGATAGCAATAAGGGCAGATCAAATTTTAAATCATAATACGCCTACAATTCCATCTAGAGGACCTAATATATTGAAAAGGTCTTCCATGGATAATAAGGCGGGAAAATTATACATTTCTTCTATTTCTAATGCATCGTCTGTATCAGCACACACACAGTCTAAAAATATAATTTCTGCATCGGAGGTAAAGAGGTTATATGTATATGTTGAATAGAAGTAATATATCAACAAGTAATTTGTTGTTTGTTACGTCAAATATGTTTATATTGTATGGTTTTCGCAGAATAAAATCATTAATTCTCCTACAAAGATGGCAGAATCAATAATTTTACAACTGGATGATGGAATAGAAGAAATTACCGAAGACGATACTACGGACAATAACGAACCAGTTATGGATATTGCAGTACTGAATAGACAGTTAGCAGAAGCGCGAAGGCAAGCCGCTGAGTACCGAAAGCGGCTTCAAAAGAAGGAAGAGGAAGCTGAAATATATAAGCAACAACTTAAAAACATTACAGCGCAAAGAGCATCTAAGTAACTTTGTATAAGTATGAATCTTGCATTAACCTTCATTTAATGAACAACTATGCTTTTTCTACAAAATTTCTTATATATACAATTTTCAGCTTCGTAAAGCGTAATTGAGAATTGTAGTTTTATATTTTTAATCTTTTCTTTCAATATTTCAATACATACATTGTAATAGTACTTACACGAACTCTCATTACTGTTTTGCTTACTTCATAAATCTTTGCGTATCTTTATGTGTCTGTATAATTCTTTTTATAATGAAATCCAATATCTCAATTAATAGGATATAATTTTACATCTTCGCATCATTTAATGTGTGCACGCTTTATAAAAAGCGTAGCGGCATCATATCGTATGTGAAAATGAATTTAATTTATGAAGTAAACAAATATTCTTACCGTAACGAACGAATATGTAAATACGTAAAGCATCAGTTTGCTTTCCACATAATGTTTCATAGTACAACATAATAAATTACTTCTTTTCATACAGTATCGCTATTTTCCAAATAATCTTTTTTTTTTTTTATCAAGTTAATTGAACTGTGTAAACACGTTTCATGAGTTTAATATTTATTATTTTAGCTACTTTTATGTTGTAACTATTCTATTAATAAACAGTATTTCATTTACTTTTATAACGGTATAGAACTTTCATATTGTATGCATGTATTATTAGGCAATATTAATATTGTCTACTATCGAAAAATGATAATATGTAGTTCAGGAAATCACGATTTTAAATTACATATGATCTATTTTGTATATAGTGAATTTTTATAATATACCATAAGATCACGCACGTAATAATTATAAAACGACTACATATATCATATCCGTAAATAACTAAAACTATTAAAAAACAATTTAAGTAATGGACATCTGTTTCTTAAGTACTTATATTTTATAAAGCATCAAATTGATAATATTTAGTAAAAAAGAGTTCATAATGTATATTTCTTGTAAACAGCCGAATGGTTCGAAATTATGCTCTAAATGACAAACAATTTTTCCATTGAATCAATGAGAGAAATATTTTTTATGAACAATATATTTATAGCACAAAATGTGGAAAGCAAATAATTTATTCGAATAAACTCTTTAGTAAGTAATATGGAAATAGAATTTACGTAAAGGATAAATTTTGCATCGTTTACATGACTGTTGTCTCTGTATATTTTCATAAAAACAATACAATTTCATTCCAGATATTTTTTTTAATAATCTCTATGAAATGATTAAGTATGCGAGTTCAGCTTAAATGTGTTTTAAAGATATAAATAATTTTTTATTTAACATGGTCCACATGGTGCTATACATATACATACATATATGTATTTAAATGAATCCCAATAATTGAAACTTTTAATTTTAAGAGCACAGGACAAATGGAATCATGTACAGAAGGGAAACGAAAGTAGTTTACTCAGGTACAAATGATAGTGTATAAAGCATAAAAAAAGTGGATTGAACGGTGTCAAATATTATGGATAACAAGTTACATATTATTAAGATTTGTTTAATATTATTATATATTGTAAATATAAACGTTTATACATATGATAATAGAAGTTGTTGACACGAAGTTACGAATTTTCATTCAGAAATAAACATTTTATATTTCACGAATTATTTGTCATTTATTATTTAATTTATTAATTTAGTACTGACCAAATATTAATTTTAGTTACGAAATATCAAATTTTGTATAATTTTGCGAAGCACGAATGCAATCGATAATTTAATGAAGATGTCTCCCGCGCTATCGATTTGAAAGTAATCGTGGCAGCACTGTCTGGCACAAAGTTTCATATTTTAAAAACTTTGCTTATCGATCAGTTCGATGGATTTCCGTTTCATCATTCATTATAAAGACGAATGATATTGTTCAGAATAGTTTCGATATTATGAACCGAAGAAACAAGTTATAAATAATATATACAATTATAAGACAACTGTGTAATTAGTAAATACGTATAACATAATGATGTCGATAAGGAGTCTTGTATCTACGCTGCATATAGGTATACACTCACTCGTGTTTCTGGCTCTCGCGATCGATCGCAGTAGTCGCACAATCTCAGCCTGCTGTGAAACGTCGGCATGTTTATTGTGTTTGATATATAGCGACGTAGAGTAGGAGGCCACGTAAAGGCTGCTACAAACAGTGTGAAAATCGTCATAGAACATAGTACACATTCGTGTGTGCTTATTACTTTGCATTTATCGTTATGATTCGTAAAATTCTGTAAGTGTCCACAGGAACGGTAAGAACAGAAAACATAGTCGCTACCTTTACTCTCGGTCCTGATCGATCGAATCGTTACTCCCGCTGTTCGAAATTCTACGAAACTACGCAGAACTACGTCATTGATCGAGAGCGTCGGTCAGGAGATCGTTAAAATATACGTTCGAAGTTCTGTTCGTAAACTTTTCAAGCTCTTCCCACAACAATCGACATAAAACAAGTTGAATGAATATAGGATTTGCTAATTCACACTTAAGAGAAAGGTGATTTAGTGAAATTTTCACGCAAACACGTAAAATCTACAAACAGAACAGTTTGATATAAAAGTTTGATGAAAGAATAGCCTCATAAATGCGGCTTAACGCCAGTAGGTACATACATACATACATACATACATACACTTATAGATGACCACGCTACGACAAGTTGAGAACCCTCGAAATGTTTCATAGCCCTAACCCGAAGGCGATGTCCAGTGCGCTGCGCTATAAAGAAGGGGGCTGTTTTCATTGTTGTTGCGGTGGTGCTTATTATTTCTATCCTACTAATATATATAGTGAATCAATAATAACGATTCGCGCCGATAAATCAGCAAGATACAAGTAACGTGTCTGTCGGAAAAGACAAGATACCTTACGATTACGTGCATCGTTATTATTGCGCCCAAAGGTGCGCGCGCGCGCGCGCGCGTGCACAACTACGTCTTGCATATACAGTCGAGAGGCGCAACGATCTTCGCCTATGTACATACATATATCTCTGTGTTAGTGGTAAGCACGGTGATATGTGAAAAAGTGCAAAGTGAATGAAGGAAAGAAAAGTCGTACAATAAAATAATATTCGTTTACTTGAATGTTTATACGAAACTGAAACAGTGGTGGAAGTTTAAGTAACAACAGTGTCTTGTGTTTTCCTTATTCTCTGTCTTTAGTTTTCTGCTCTGTCCCTCGGACGCGTGTGTTCATTCGTGGTTTTGTGACGCGGGTGTGGGTAGCATAGCAGGTAGAATATCAAGGTAACAAAAAACAACGAAGCGGGAAGCGGGGTCGAACTTTTTAAAGCTCGACTATCTATCACTTCCCGATTGCATTAACGTTTCCACGTCGAGGCTATAACCGAGCAGTGACAATTAAAAACAGTTTCACGAAAATGCGATACGAGTTGTTAGGTCGCCTAGCGTAGTATATCGCCTAGCGGCGACGGGCCCAGAGAGAAGCGGCGGAAAAATGGCGTCCGATAACGAAGCCTCTTGTGCGAGTGACCCAAATTTCGCGGTAATTTGCTCGTTCCTTGAGTGCTTCGGCAAGTCCTGTGGTATCATTTATCCTGATATCGCGCGCCTTCAAGAGATGCTTGAAAACACACAGGAGGGTAAGTAAACCTGAAATGCATATGTGTATGTATATAGAAGAGAGAGAATGACTGACCCGCCCCCGCGAGGCCAAAAGTCTCGTGTGTGTGCTATTAGTTTTCTTCTACGTTTCAACGCTATTATTTTCTTATAAATTTCATGTCATTTACTAGCTCTGCTTTTCATTAAATCATTTTTAAACAATTATTTTATTCGCATAAAGACGATGTAAGATTCGTAATTGTTTCATCTCTTTTTTAAGCGAGATCTAACGCTGTTTTAATAGATCTTTTGTTCTCTTTATTTCTTAGTTGTATAGCAATATCTTCTAAAAACATTCATTACAAACTAATTATCGATACTTTCGAGTGCTTTCGTATTAAGTTTTATTACTTTACTTCAATAATGATATTATTGACAAGTTGGTTCAATTTGCTGTCCTCTGTTGTTATTTTCTCCCGTGCTGCCACCTCCCTTGTTGTCAATATCGTTTACACGTGATTATGAGTTACGAATCGTGCATCGAACTTCTATATGTAAATACATATATTCGAAATTTCGTTATGTTTATAGATCGTACTGATATTTTTATCGAACAATTGATTAATTGTTACTTGTGTTTAAATACAAATGTGACATTATTAAATAAAATTGAGATTTTGTAACTTACAGTGCACCTATTTATCTGTATTTAGTTTAAGCGTGTAATAAATATGTTTGTTCAATTTTGTTTATAATTAATTTTTTTCTAGTACCACAAGAATTAATAGATCTACACATCAAATTATTGCGTAAGACCCGCAAAACTGTCTCACCAGAAAAGTGGGAACGAGCATTGGTTAAATTCTGCCACACGTACTCTAATCAAGATGGATGGGAACTTGAACGTTTTGGTTATAAGAAAGCTCGTATCGCTGTCAAGCTACGACTACTCAAAGTATAAATATTTGCTCGTGTTTCTAATGTTACATACATTTGCTCGCAAAATGTCGTTTACTTTACTTTACTTTACTTTACAAGTCTTTTTTATTGCAGGTTCTTTTAGAAACACAATTTGACTTAAATCAAAAATTTAAAAATGAGGTGAATAAATTAGCAGCTAATGAATTACGCGTGGAACCTTTAGGAAGAGATAAATCTGGTTTAGCATACTGGTGTCAACTTGACGAAGAGTGCAATATAAGGGTTTATAGAGAAGATTTAGACGAAGAAAACTGGGAACTTGTAGCTAAGTAAGTTTCAAACATGCGCGTTAAAGTTAATATATATTTTAAACGATCTTTAATAAATCTTTGATTTCTGTTTCATTATTAGAGATCGGGATGGTGTTGTTAATCTAATAAACACTTTATCAAATGGAGAAATTGGTGATATTCCGATCAATGAAGACAGTAATAGTTTAGAAATCTCTGAGAAACCTATTATTGATACAGGACAAATAACAACGTCGCCAAGTTTGGAAGATGAAAGTTTACAAGAAAATGGTATTCATGCTGAAGATTTATGCGACAAACAATCAAACAAGCATGAAGGTGAAGATTCTGAGGATGAACAAGAGCAGGATGAGTTTAACGAGGGTGATAATATTGAAGATGACATAGATGGTGAAGATGAAATAACAAACGAAGATGATAGTTCTAAACAAAATACTGAAGAGGATGATTCTCAGGAAACGGTGCAAAGTGAAATATTGAAGTCAAATCTTATAAAGGCGTTCCCTTTAATGACAGCATCTTCGAAACCTTTAAACGGGAAAATCAATGTTTTGTCAGAAAATGAAACTGTTACATCTCGTAAAAAGAAAATAGATACAGTTCCAGAAACTGCTGGTACTGTATCCGATTATAAATCCATGGATACGTGTAAGTCTAAAGAGCATATAGAGGTGAATAATGTAAAAGTTAAGTCTGGAGAGTCAGTGCCTCTTAAATCGATTGAAACATCCGTTATTACATCTCCTCTTAAGTTAGTAAACGTTTCTGAAACGAAACAAGTAGACGAAGAAAAGATTGCAAGTGGAGTAACTGCATTAAATATAACAAAGAAGCTTCATAACGAAGATTCGTCGGATCAAATTCTGAAACCGTTGGATAAATTATCTAGCAAAAGTTTTTCTTTTTCATCTACAGAGATACATACAGCTCATAGTAAACTGTCCGTTAAGCCGATAGATCAGTTGGCTGCAAATCTTGTGCGAATGCAATCGGAAAAGCTTGAAAAACCAATTGGAGCAAAATCATTAGAGAAAATAGCAGAAAATCTAGCGAGATCGGGTAGTATTGTGGGGAATGTAATAAATGGCGATGATGATCGATTACCTCAAGACTTTTGTGCAAGAAGTCAAATGGAAAAAGCCAATGTACATGCTAGAGAGAATAGAGGTATGGATTTATCTACATCACCTAGAGGCTGGGAAAGTACTAGCGAACAAAATAAGCCGATGGATTTCTCTGGAATTGATTTATCTAGTCGAAAATTTAACAAACCTATGGACATACTTTCTTCTGGCTATAGAACACAAGATTTTCAGCATAGAGAAATGGATCTTAGTACGAAAAAATTAAATAAACCAGAAGTCACAAGCTTACCGTATGATGCTCGGGCTGTGATGATGCGTAATCATGCGATGGTAGCTGATTTAAGTAAAAGACAAATGTCGTTTCCTAGTTATGATATGTCGTCTGTAAGTCCGTATCATAATGCTGCAAGAATACCTAATAAAGATGATCATAGATTACCAAATTATACAATACTTCCTGACCCGAGTAAACTCGCAGCTTTAAGAATGAATACAACACCGGTAAAACGTTCGTTGGAAGCAGATGATCTTCAGCAAGACATGTTAAAAAGAATACGAGCGGATGTAATACCAATTCAAAGATCTATCGACAAAAGGCCAATGATCGGTGCTACTTGGAGAGATGAAATCGGTGAAGCCGTCGAGGAACCGGTAATGATGATTCAAGGCGAAGGATCTGGTAGCGATTGTGATGCGGTGAATCCTGGTCTCGGAGAAGCTGTAGAAGAACCCATAATTTTTTTTTATGGGGAAGGTTCTGGAGAAGAATGCCAAACAGGAAATCCTGGAGACAGTACGTCAGCTGACAATAAAGAAAGCAACGAATCAAAAAATGAAGCTGATTCTGCTACTTCCTCTTTATCAACAAATAAAAGCTTCAGTGAAGGTAGCCTTATAAATGAAGTATCTGCTGAGTCATTAGTAACAAATAAAAGTGCTATAAAATTAAACAGGAATTATCCTCAGTCTAACATTAATGTAAAAAGTAATTTTCAAATTGTAGGTTCTACGCAAGAGAAACCAAAATTTAAACCGACATTGGGCATTCAAATAATACCGAAAAATACGAATAGCTCTGTCAAAAGGTTATCAAGATGGGATGTTGGAAAGCCAGAAGAAAAACCGGAATGCGACAGTAGCATCATATCAAATGAAGAAAACATATCGCAAAGAAGAAATAAAATTGAATGTGAAGATTCTTCTAGTGAAAATCAAGATGTTAAAATTGATGGAAATTCTATAAGTATCGAAGACGTAACATCCCAACAGAGTAATGTGAAATTAGAAAATTCACAAGAAAATATAGGAGAAAGTTCTTCAGCTATAGAAGAAAAACAAAGTTCTACCGATCAAGATTCTATACAATGTTGTGATTCATCTATATCATTATGTCAGGCAGATACTTCAGAAACGTTTAAAACCTGTACAAAGACTAAATCTGTAACTGAAAACGATAAAACAAATATAAAAAATGTTTGCGACATAGAAAGTACAAGTTTGCACGAGACAAGCACTTCAGAAAGAATGGACAATGAATGTAAACCATCAGCCGTATCGCCGCCAAGATTTTTTTTTGGACCTAATTGCATTTCATATACTTCAAAGACAGAAATGTTTGAGTCGCAACCTGATCATACAGTTTCGACGAGTATAATAGAAACGAATAAATCAGATACGTTACAATATGAATGCGTATCTTCTTCCAGACCCGCAGAAGACACGATTAATACCTATAAATCGGACGATTTTGATGTGACACAAACAAATAACAACTCGTTGAAGGTCAACTTATACCCGCATAAGACTGCTAATCCGGTTTGCGAAGATGATAATAAAAATAAAATAGAGAAAATTGAAGGAGCAGCCAATTCGTGGGAACCAAGTGCTTCTTCCAAATATTCTTTAGAACAGCCTTCTAAACTACGAAAAACAGAAATAAGTTTACATGATCCAGAATCCGTAGTAGAAATTGAAGAAGATTCAACATCCTGTACTATTGATACTGTACAAGATTCTATTTCTAGTACTGAAGCTGCATCAAAGGAATGTATAAAATTTAAAGAAACAGAAATGTTAGATACAATTTCACAACCTCACAGTACCAACGATTTAATTAATAAAAAAAAGGATGTAGATATGAAAATGGAAAATGCAGTTGTAATACCATCAGAACTTGAGCTGAAACAAGAATGCAATATATTTGAAGAGCAAAATAAGGAGGAATCTGATTCAGCAGACGATATCGTAAAATCTTTAAACACATCGATTCCTTGTTCCGAAGCTGAACCTTATTGTAAATTTAAGGAAAATAAATTAGAAGCTGATTCAGTATCCTCTAAAAGTTCATGCTCATCATCTGATGGTATACAGAATTTCCAGAAAAATAATTTCACTGAATCGGAAGACCATTTAGCAGAGAAAGAATTAGATTATATTTCTCAGAAAACGTTTGACTCTTCTGTTACAACCTGTGAAGAAAATAATGAAAATCGTGATGATCGAAAATATGAAAATCAAAATGAAGAATTAATAGAGTTCGATAATAAAATCACAACGGATCTGATAGGGTCTGATGCTGAAGCTGTGCTTGTTAATTGTAATGAAAGCAATGAAGAAATTAATCGACAAAATGAAGTTTTAGAAGATTCTGAAAATGAAGGAAAAAAGGTATTCATTGATCCATTTATCAAAAACTTTGTGCCTGATGTTAACACAAAATTAGATTCCATTGATAATTCTACTGTTACTAGTTCTGAATTTATTGAAAAATGTAACAAAGATACATTAGTTCCTACAATAAGTAGTTCAGACGATTCCTGCATTCACCAAGACACTTCGTTTCATGAAAGTGTTAAATTAAATTCTGAGAAATCGTCGTTTAAAGATGAATGTCCTACTTATGATACATTATTACCAGAAACAGTACCTGACACGAATATTTCTAATTCATCCAGATCTAATATAGTTGACTCTACAAAAGAATCTAACGTAGTTCAAGCTGCAATATCGAAGGGGCAAAGTTCCTGTATTGATCAAGATTTGAATAACTTATCGAAAGATGAGGAAGGGTCTACTAAATTATACGAAGGAGAAGCATGTTCGAACGAAAATTTATCTTCTAACGAGAATGCATATAATGATTCCCTGAAATTACAATCACCATCTTTAGAAACAAATGATTCCGGTATTATTTCTGAAAAAGATAAAACAGAGAACGTTAATTTTGTAGAGATTCAAGAAAAATTTGATACCGTCATTGAGCCAAATAAAACTGATGATAGAACTCAGTTCTGTAAAGAAGATGTTACAGAATATGTCCAAGATAGCTACCAAGAAGATCAGAAACAAGCAATAGTAAGCAATATTTTAGAGACTAATTCAAAGACGGCAGAAAAGTCGGAAATTGAACAGGAAGAATTAAAGCATACAAAGATAAATCCACAAGAACTTATTAATAGTGAAATTAAACAATCCTTAGTTGCAAATTATGAAAGCAGTGATTTTGACGATAGTAATGACGATGTTTTTGAAGCTTTTGAGACAGAACCAATTGAAAGCAAAAGTAACTTTTCTTCTGATCTAGAAGAAATAGTGTCTGATGCAGAGGAAAATGAAGAGAAGAATATAGAAAAGCCAAGTAAAAAAAATGAAATATTATCTAACGAAGTGCAAGGTATACAGGTTGATAAAGAAACAGAATCAATGATAGATAGTAGTGGTATTGAAAAAATAACAGTGGACAAAAGTGAAGAAAAAGAAAAGGGGTTAAATGAAGAAACAGATTTTAATGTTGTTCAACATGATTTGAATCTGGAAATAGCTCTAGATGAAAAGATTCGTCTGGTTAATTCTGAGCAAAATAGTAGTAATACTGTAGAATTGGCAGAAACGGAGACGTCAACAATTTCTTCTGAAATTAATCCAATAAAGAAAGAATGTATAAGCCTGGAATTAAATAAAGCAAACAATTTAATAAACATAATAAAAGAGGGGAAAAAGGAAAGTTCAGATGAAGTTAGAAAAAATCTGGTAGATGTAGTAGTTCCCGTGGAGAAAACTGATTTTAAAATAGATTCAACAAATGAAATTGAAACTGTTGAACTTCTTAATAACAGCAATAACGAAATAATTCCGGAAGATTTAAGGACAGAACTATCGTTAAAATCTACAGAGGAAAATCTGGTAACAAGCTTAGATAATGATGTTAAATTTATGAAAAATGAAGAAGTAAAACATGTTACAGAAGAAATTTCAATTATAGAAACATGCAACAAAGTAAGAAAATCCTCGGAACATGGCGATAAAGAAAATAAATTTGATATAAATTTACAAGAGGAGAAGAATTTCAATAAAGAGGAGTGTAACGTATCCATTCACTCGGTATCAAACATTTTACCATTAAAATTTGACAACATAGAAAAGTCAGAAATACATAAAAATAATATTTCAGTTATGTCAGAAAATTTCAAACCTATGGATAATTTACAGTATGTAAGTTTTATGTCTGAAAAGTCAGAAAATTCGGATATAATAGATAATCATGAGAATCGTAACAAGTCGCTTCGCGTTACAAACGAAACGATTGATGAATCCATTTCTGAAAGTACTGTAACAAGCGTGAAAGATAGTTCAACGAGCTTTAGTACGCAACAAGGAATGATAACATCGGCACCAATAATTGCAATAAATGATTATAAAAAAGAAGCCAGTAAAAGATTCAGCGATGTTTCCGACCTAATTCAAGATGTTCCTCCATTAAAATCTAAACCTCCGTGTATAGAGCCGGCCAATGAAGAAATATTACAAGATTTATCAAATTCCAAAGCGCAATTGGATAGAAATTTGGATAATTTCAAAGAAATGGAACTTGCGGTAAACGAAACTAAAGCGAGGGACGATATGATAACAGTGTCTGATAACATTGCGGTACAGTCGACGAAAGACGAGTGTCATCGTACAGTTGCTAACGTATTAAATAATATATTAAATCAAATTGAACGAAAGAACATAGAAACGAATGAAGAGAAAGAAAGTACAGATATTCAGAGTGTCGAGATAAAAACAGTTTCTTTAATATCCGATGATTCTATGGGGGCGGATAATGAAAATTTATTTGGCATAGCTTCCGAAGAGATGGACCCTTTAGCGTGCACCGATGATGATGATGATGATGATGATGATGATGATGATGATGATGATGATGGAACTGTTAAGAAATTAGATGATACGCCTAAGATAGCGTTACGGGTTAAACCTGTGTCCGAACTCGTTTACGATGGATGGAAATTAGATTCTACCGAACCTCCGAAATTATCTCGTAAGCGACGCAATAGTTCTCACGAATCAAATTCCGAAGATGGAGGTATGAAAGAAGACGAAGTAATAATGATGGGAGGGAAGAGAATGAAATTACGTGGGAAACGTATGGCTGATAAACAATTGCGGAAATCCGTAGAGGAAAGTCGTGTTGTAACAATCAGTTCAGAAGATGAAGCTGTGAAGTGTGATGATTCTCAAGAATTGAAAGAGCAAGAAAGTAAGGATGCCAGCGATGATCAAAGCGGTGCTCATCTTTCTGCAATTGATAGAAAATCAAGAGGACGTCCTAGGGGAAGACGAAGACGTGGTTACAAAGGAAGCGGCCGTTCAAATCGATCCAAACATTCTGAATTTCAGAGTAGTCAAGTCTCCGAAACATCGCCTGAGGTTATTTTTGAGGGAACGCCACCGAGTAACAACGATTCTTTGAACATGACACCAGTATCGCAAAAGAAACGGAAGAAAAGTGAGACTTTCGATCTTTGATCATTGGATTGAAAATCATTTGAGATTATATCTCCATTTCTTACATCTATATATTTTTCAATATTGTTCACAGGGAAAATGGTTTTGGGCCTTGAAGTGGGAAGAGACATCGTACCTGAACCAGAAGCAGGATTAACACAAGATGAAACACCCGTAAGACAATCCAGAAGAATAGCACAATTGAAAATTAAAGAGGCACAACTGAAGATCGAAGAAGAATCTTTAAGTGAGAAAAAAGAGAGGAAAGATAAGAAGGAAAAGAAAGATTCTACCGAAAAGAAAAAACGAAAGAAGCAAAAGGTACATTTCTAATTTTATACAAATTCTTAAGCAATATCGATATATGTATGTACTCTACACACACTCTATAATTGTAATATTTTCAGCCTGAAAGCGAAGAAGAAATTATAATAAAGGATATAGAGAAGGAAAAGAAATCTAAAAAGAAACGTAGGAAAAGGAAAAAGAAAAAAATGCTATCTAAATTTAATGAAGCAAATCCATGGCAGAGTTCCTCGGGTTCCAGTAGCGACGAAGAAAATGAAAATGACGAAGAGGAAGAGGAGGAGGAAGATATAGAGAGCGAAGGATCTTTACTTTTTAAAAGTGATCACGAATTTTCACCGGAAAGTGATCTTGAGAAAGATCAAGAATCTGAACCATTAAGAAGAGCTAGAACTGCACAAAAAGGTATCATGAAATTATTTACTTACTATAGTATAGCTATCTTTTAGTCAGATGCAAAGTTAATCATACACGTGTGTATTATAATAATCTAGCTCAAAGTGACGTGGAGGAAGCAGATGATGAGTATGCTTGTCAGAAATGTGGCAAAGCAGATCATCCAGAATGGATACTTTTATGTGATTCGTGTGATAAAGGCTGGCATTGTTCTTGTCTTAGACCAGCGCTTATGTTAATACCTGAAGGTGATTGGTTCTGTCCTCCGTGTCAACATGTAAGTTTCTGTCTCGAATTAAATAAAAATTTTAATCAATTATTTTATTTAAAATCTCTCATTCCATAAAATGTATGTTTCATTTTAGAATTTACTAGTTGTTAAATTACGAGAAAACTTGAAAACATACGATCAATTAACGAAAAGACACGAAAACGAAGTGTTAAGAAAGAAGAGATTGGCGTTTGTTGGTATAAGCTTGGATAATGTTCTTCATAAAAACGAAACGCAACGTCACCAAAAAGAATCAAATGCGTCTAGCCAAGAATCGGATAATGGTAATTTAAAATTCTTTGTAATATTTCGTTCCCTTTTCTTGATTATTTTTATAATACAACTTTGTGTTTTTTCTCTCTCTACCTCTACCTCTCTCTCTCTCTCTCTCTCTCTTTCTTATATAGAATCTACAACTACCACGTCTACTTCAAGTACAGAAACATCTAGTAGCGAAGAAAGTGAACCGGTCTATCAATTACGTGAAAGGCGATGTGCTAATAGATATAAATTCAATGAGTATGATGCCATAATCAATGCCGCGATTCAAGACGAGGTAGAAGCGGTTCAAGGAGCCGGAAATCAGGGTAGAGGAAAAGACATTGCAACTATAGTGAATGCAAAGAAGGAAGAAGCAGAGGTAAATTAATTTGTTTTGTCTCCTTTAATTGAATTCCACCCACCATATTCGTATCTTAAGTGATATTCTAATGGAAAATTTTCGTCTCCAGCTTGAGTTTAAAAATGAAATATTAAACATGGACGAAATACCTGCAAACAAAGATGATATTGAAAGAAAATCAGAAAAAGATAGCGACGAAGAATATAAAATCGACGCAGAGGATGGTGTCGATGAAGAGGAAGAAGAACAACATAAAGGAACAGTAAAGAAATTCTTGTCGCGTAAAAAACATCGTAAATTAAATAGTCTGGATATAAGTAGCGAAGATGATCCAGAAAGTGATGAAGATTTTAAAGGCACGAGTTCCGAGGAGGAAGAAGATTTTGATGATCATATAACATCTTCCGATGATAGCTCTTTCGCTGACATGAAACGACGTGGTAGAAAAGATTCACGATCGGTACGAAGAAGCACCAGGGTCAGAACTATGCGTTACGAGGAAGATTTTAGTGAGTACAATCAAATTCGATTTGCTTTTATTATTATCATTATAAGGCCAATGTTATAAGATGATTGATGTTTTTACAGTAAACGATGATAGCGAAGAAAGCGATAGACCGAAAAGAAAGAAATCTCGATCTACGTGGGATTCGGATAACGAGGATAGCGATAATTCATGGCGACAAAGAAAGAAAAAGTAAGACATCCTCGTTGTTATTATTCTATCATTGAATTCAATTTTTACGTTAATTTCGTTTCAGAAGTAAAACCATACCGACGTCTAAATATAAAACGTTACCAAAAACGAAAAGTAGAAAGAAAAAAAAGAGAAAACGTATAATTGAGTCTGACAATCAAAGCGATAACGATGACTCAACTGAAGAACAAAAAATTGAAACTTCATGCGTAATACAAGCACAGTTAGAAAACAATGAATCGGTAACGCTTGATGCGCTAAATATGAAAGTTGAAAATGTAAATGAGAATAATGAGAATAAAAATGTTAACGAGATGAATGATATAAAATTAGAAGAAATGAAAACAGAAGTAGCTGACATATCTGTCACTCTACCGTTACAAGATGCGCTTCTACAAAAGAAAAAGAAAGTAAGGTTATATTTATTCTTTGTTTGTATGAAATGTTTCTTTTCTTTTCTTTTCTTTTTTTTTTCTCCAAATGTTTCTTTTAATTTAATTTACAGGAGAACGTTACAAAGCCAAAAAAGACTCCGACAATTCGAAGAAAGGTATATAAATTTTATTTTTCTATTCAATTAACGCAGATGCTTGATTTTATACGTTTAATAACATTTTCAGATTATATACGGTGGCCTTCCAGATGAAAACAAACCGGAAGAAGAAGAAACTTTAGGTAGAAGAACTCGAGGAAGAAAAATGAACTATCAAGAAGAAATAGCGTCGGATAGTGAGGAGGTAAGAAATACAATGTTGAAATTGTAAAGAATTGAAGGTATGAAAAATTTTCTATCAACATCGCATCGCAGGAATTAAAAAAGGCGTTAAGAAGAACCGGAGAGAGCGAGGATGAATTTGTTGTAAACGAAGGCGAAGATTTAATCGAAGACGCTGAAAAAGATTCAGATTCAGGTAATTTGAAAATAATATATTGAAATTGAATGTAGTTGATTAATGTAATGTATCGTCTACATTTTGTAGGTGATATTTATAATCCAAAAAAAGATGGTCACAAGGTGAAAAATAAATCGCCAAAAAGTAGGAAAGCAAGGAAAAGCAAAAGTCCTGGAGGAAAAAGAAAAATGTTAAATGATGGGACACCGAAACCGAGAAAAAAGCCTGGTCCAAAACCCGGAAGTAAAAATAAATCGCGCAAACAAAATTTTTTAATGGGTTCCATGATCCAGAGAAGAGACGACCAAGATGAGGAAAAGGATATCATGGGTAATGTCATTGATAATCCTATAGGAGACTTAGACTCTAAAATTGATGACAATCTTTCAGAAAATGTTGGATTAACTAGTACTGCTATGTCGGTGGCAGGTTCCTTTACTGGAGATGTTCCAGAAGGTTCCCTGACTGGGCTTGGACCAGGTGAATTAGCAGACTTGGATGACGAACAGTTAGAACAGATGATGATGGAAGACGAAGAATATGGCAGACGACAATTAGAACTTGCTGCTATCGAGATAGCAAAAAAGAAGAAGAAAGAAGAACGAGAAGCTAAAAAATTAGAAAAAGCACGATTGAAAGCGTTAGAAATATTGGCAGCTGAAAGACAACGAGATCCTAATGCACCGGAAGGAACTGACGGAGAGGTACCAAAGAAAAAGAAACGAGGTCGTCGCAGTAAAGCCGAAATTCTTGCAGAACAAATGCGCAGGGATGGAGCTCCAGATTTAAACGCTACTAGTTTAACTAGCAGCGTTGCGCATACTGTAGCAAGCAATATATCACCTACTGTTAATCTTGCTCTTAATCCCGCCGTACCAACAATAATGACGCCTGATGCTGAGAGACCGAGCGAGGGACCTATCTCCATGATGACAGGACCGGATGGGCAACTTTTTAATCCTGACGGATCACCGTTAAAACCTAAAAGAAGAGGACGCGGCAAAGGTAAAAAGACTTTGGCATTAGAAGCAGCTAGAGCTGCTGAAGCAGCGGCGAAAGCCGCTGTTGAAGTTGGTCTACTTAGCATGGGAACTGATTCGAATCCGGAATTAAAACCTGGTGAAATTCCGAATATACTTCCTACACCAGGTAGTAGCACCTCTGGTTCGGCTCCGTCCACACCACCTGCTGGCGTCGTAACAACACAAGGACCACCTGCCTCGCAAACCCCGACCACACAGCCTGTTTATCCATCATTACCACCTAATCAACAGTCTTCCGTTATCACCAGAATGCTTCAATCTCAACCTGTATCGAGTAGTCCACAGTCGTTTTCTGCTGCAGCTGCAGCGATGGGGCACAAATATTTCGGAGGACCAAACACTGGAGGTCAAATAATGGGCGGACCTAGAACGGGCTACGAGATGCAGCCACGTGGAAGAATTCCCTCTCCGTATAGACAGGCCGGCCAATCGTCTATACCACCTCACTTTGCGGCTGTGCGATCAGGAACTCCTCCGATGAGAATGAGAGTACCTGGCCCGCAAATATATCATACACCGCATCATCCAATGGATCCTTCTCCATCAGGTGGTGGACCGATATCGATTAACAGTCGAGATCGTAGTTCTCCACTTGGACCTGGGCCTGCAATGATCCCGCCAGCTGCTGGAAGTCCTTTAGCTAAAGGTGGTCCTACACCTCCTCCACCTCCGCCTTACGTAAGGGGAGCTCCACCCTTACCTAGATTTACAGACAATCCGATGGGTCCCAGGCATCAAATGCCACCTTTTACAAACGCTTCACCGGTTAACCATAACATGCAACAACCATCGCCGCCACCTAATCGACCTCCTGGTAATTTTTCACCGTATCATCCTCCACCACCACCTAATTATCACTACGGTGCGTATCCACCTCCTCCGCCAATGTCCACAGCAGATGATGCAGCTGCCTACCAAGGTTCTCCATATCCTGCTGATCATTTTTCTTCCCCTGCGGATAATCAACCACCTATTCAAGCGCCACCGCCTCCTCAGCCTCCGCCACCGCCGCCGCAGCAGCAGCAAGCGCATCCGAACGATGCCGCTGGTGTTGGAAATAAACAGTACGACGAAGAAGGTTCCGGTGAATTTGGTGGTTTAGTATCTTACTTTAGTAGTCAGAGAGAAGATGATCTTGATTCGTAGCATGAGTGAGATCTTGGCCAACCCTGAATCAGTTAAAGGCAGAATGCATTCGAGAAAAATGCATTTTATCGCCCAAATAAAATTACAACTTTTGCTCGAGAGGAATCAGTACAAGAGATACATAAAAGTAACATGTAACGTAACCGTAAATAAAAAAAATTAGATATATTATATATATATATATATATATATATATATCTGTCGGGGCATTGGAATGTGAAATAAATAAAAGAAAGAGAGCATTTGCATAACAATACAATGATACATGATTCTAACATTATTTTATACTCGTACTGTATCGTTTTAAAACGTAAGAACACATAGAATTAGAATTGTCTTCCTCTTTGACCTCTTAAGCAAATAGTTGTCTGAAATCTTTATACTTTCAGAATAAAAGAAAAAGGAAAGCCGCCGAAATCAAATCCAAGGTTGGCCAAGTGAATACAGGAGGAAAAAAGAAATATATAATATTAATCGCTAACAATGGAGCCTATTTCCTAAGAGTTATAAGCTTTTTGTAATTAGTTCGAGTTTGTTTAAATTTATATAAAACGAAACGACCACTGGTAAAAAACGTAAGGTGTTGCGTTACGCTAGAGGAAAGATTACACAAAGATCTGACCAGAATTCTAACTAATTATTCGTTAGTATTCCTAAAGGAAAAAAAAATTGGTGCACAGTTACTTCCAAATCCGTCGTAGATGTATAGATGTCCTTTTCCCGAATAAACATTTGCTGTTGACAAAGTCGGTCTTAGTAGTGATCAGGAAACTTATATTATAACGAATTCGGACTATGCGCCGTTGTTACATGTATATATGTAAATATAATAAGTCTTTTAGATTATATTATATGTATTATATATACACAGTCACACAGAATACTATAAAGTGAATTAGTGCAAAGGGCACAAATGTAATATTTAAATGAAAAAGAAACAAAAGGAACGGCATCCGATTATAATAAATTAACAAATGGTGTGAAGACTATTACTATAATTATTTATAAAAAAAAAAAAAAAGATTAAGAATTTATAATAAGTAGTATATTGTATTTTACAAATTTTACTGATATAATTATATTTAAAAATATTTGGATATAATTGTATTAGAGAACAGGAGGCTGCTGAGAGTCCAATTCCAAGGAAAGCGAGGAAAAAGGAAATTTAACGAAATTGACGTTACGTGTATAGATAATCTGAAAGTAGTTTTTAAAAAGAAATTTTTATTCTATCGTATCGGTGCAATTACAAATACATATAGTTATATGTAGCTATGTACATGATTTTTGTAATACATGTACAACCATGTTTGTTAGTAAGAATTAACAAATTTATCTTATTTCCTATTTTCCTTGTTTTGTTTCTTTTCTTATTTCCTCAACAATATTTTTTTACCGCTTTTCAAATTAAAATGAAAATAAAGAAATCTATATGATATATGTATACACGCGGGGGAAAAAAAGAGAAAAAAATTATTAGTGTATATATATAATATAAAGAATTAATTATTAAAGATATTGTACGAATGTTTCGTATTATAAGCCATTGACCCAAGGTCAGAATTGCTTCTACCTACAGCGCAACTTTGGAAAATTGTTTTATTGAATCCACTTCTTAAAATGAATATTCGAAGAAATCTTAAAGTTTTTCATTAAGAAATGGATTCGGATGAAATTTAACTCAATTGAGTGATTCACTGAACAGATACAACTATATGTGGCTATAAGAGGATTAATTTAAAAGGAAAGAAAAAAAAAAACTTATTTCTTTTCTTTTTTAGAATAAAACAGCCTCCTGGTCTTTAATTAATTCGCAAAGCTGGTAGTGTCTTTGCGTCACAAAACAAATCATGTATCTGTTTAGTTATCACACGTACGTACATACATAATATAAATAGAATTTATATAAATAAAAAAAAAAGGAGGAAATACATTATCTTAGGATTAGCTGCTTGGGATAGTTTCCTTTACTTCGTCAAATGTTTAAAGACCGAATTGATCGATTATACACACTTTACACACCATATAACATAATAGAAAGATTACTGTCGCTAATTTTACTATTTTTACATCTATACAATATATTTTTGATTGTATATTCTTTAATGTACAATCTTTTATCTTTGAACTTAACATGTGTCTTCGGACCATTCGTTCTTAGGATGCGCTTCAAGGAAAATACGAATTTATAATCTATATGTTGTTTTCGAATGCTTGGATAATCATTAGAATTATATATGTTACTAGAAAACAATTGTCTGACACTTTTCGATATGGAAATTTAATCTCTGTTAAAAAAAAAAAGAAAGAAACGATAATAATTAATATTTATATAAGATACGTAAACAGTTCTTTCAAATGTCCGAAGATTTAATTTTTAATCCATTTTTGAGTCCTTTGAACATAAACAAAAAATACATAAAATTGATTTTTTCAGAAAAAAATATGTACATATATATAATATATTCATATATTCGTATATTTATATTGCTTTCATGTATGACACGTCCGCATTTAAAGAAATTCATATAGTTCATATGAAACATACTTGTGATAATACAATGATTCGATCTCAATACTGGATAAACGTATCAAACATGATCCTTGGAAGGAGGTACGTTCATTTTCGCATTTATGAGTGTTTCCTTGAAACGTAAACGGACGAAGTGTCTTGTCAAGACAACAGTAAATGTGGTGCAGTTTAGCTTTTCTTTTTCGTAAGGGTCTAGACCAAACGCAATTATTATATTACATGTTGTAGCCTAAACACATTTTGTAATAAAATTCAATATATTGAAATAATACCGTAGGATGCTTTTTCTTTACAATACGTGTCAATATTATAACCATTTTTTTTTATCAAAAATTTTAATGTTACCAATATTATAAATGCAATATGGATGTTTTCATACTAAATTGGAAAGAGTGATATTATAAAGTACATGTATAACTTCCGTGTTGTATATAACTTTTTTTTTCAATTATATATATATATTTATTTTACATGTTCGTTTTATAATGGTTTCAAATTTAAAAAAAAACGTCAAATGTTTTATACAATTTCCAAAAAACATTTAAAAACAAAAAATACATTGAACATATTTCAGAGAAATGTTTAAAATAATATTACCTCGAAAAGGTTTTTTTTGTTTTTTCAAATTCGTCTAGCAAAATATTTTGTAACAAATATGATGATTTGTTTTATTGTATACAAATATAATTGTATTAGAAATAAGAAAAACTTAAAGTAAAATTTGCAATCTAACTTGCTGTTTTGGTATATAACACTGAATATCATTTAACAATTTTAACTTTATTGTGAAATACTTTCTCATTTGCAGGCTTCACCTCACCAAATCTTGCTTTTCTTTTCTCTATTCTAGCTTCTAATTCAGCCTAAAACAAAGTAATTAGTATTAGTATTAAAATATGCTTTTATATTGCATAATAAAATATAAAGGCACACAATTAACATTGTAAATGTTTCATTTAATTTCATTTATTACCTTTTCCATTAAAGTGGAAACAGAAGTACCAAACCTTTCCGCACGCTTTTTTAGAACTTCATAAGTTGTATGCTATAAATGCATATAATAAATTAACTATATCAAAAACACAATGTTACAATTATATTCAAATAAACATATATGTATATATATATATATATACCACAGGTGTTTTTACAGATGCAGCTGACTTATTATTTTGATTATTAATACTGAATCTTGCAGATCTAACCTCCTTTTTAGCAGCTTCTGATAACGGCAATCCAAATTTCTTAGCTCTCATTTCTAGCCTCTGTTGAAATAAACAACATAAATTATTAACATACTAAATTTTAAATATCAATTAAGCAAAGAAAATATCACTGATATTAAACTAAAAATCTATGGAAAGTTAATTGTTACCTCTTTGACACCAAGCTCTGATAATTTAATAATTTTTCTTTCAGCTGGTGCAACCTCGGTAGTCTTTGTATCAATTTCAGCTTTTTCTGTTTGCTCATTTTTAACTTCTTCAATTACTGGTTTTCGGTTTAGAACTATTTTTTTAGCATTCGTATTACTCTCAGTAGATAGTTTTCGCTTTTTCTCAACTTCTTGTGAATCTGGTTTACTTGATAATTCTTCTATTTCTTCATCCTATTTAAATGTAACATACTGTTCAGTTACATTCATAAAAACATACTTAATTTATATTAAACGAGTTTGAGTTTACCCCAAGAACTGCATCTTCATCTAAAATTTCTTCTGCAGTTTCATCCAGAGATAATGCAGAGTCTAAGAACAAAGACAATGTTTCATCAGTATACGTGATCTTTATACAGGAAAATATAAATATTCTGTAAAATTTGTTTAAAAATATATACCACCATGTATTGCTAACTGAAGCCTTTCAACCAATTCATTTTTATTGCCAGTGGTAGAAAGTCCTCTCTGTTTCAGTTCAATCTTCAAATCTGCAACCTATTCAATAATATTTTCTTTGTTTTAATATAATTTAATTCTATAATCTCAATATTTATACAAAATTATATTTATAATATATGAATTACAATCACTTATAAATAGTCATGTAAATATACTACACAAATTAATGTAAATAATAAATTAAGGTTAATTTCCCGGCCTCGTAACCACATCAATAAAATTGTACTTGAATTACCTTCATTTTTGAAAGTTCAGTAAGTCCTTTTTCATATGATGAATCAGCCATGATGCATCAGGATTATTTTATTTCAATTAATATCCCTTTTTGATCTCCGATTAACATGTCACAACTTTCCACAGAATAAATACTTTCACGAAATTGAAAAGCAAATCAAACCAAATTATATGTACATACACAACATAAAAAGTTCAATATCGCTACCTTTACGAGTGCAGTGACTAATCGATTGAGTTTCAGTGTCAAAGTTGACAGTAATTTCAAAATGAACCATGTAATGTTCTTTGAATAAAATTGAATATAATATAGCCAGCTTATCTAAATATGTATATTTAACAAAAATATGTATATTTAACAGAGAGGAAAAGAAGTGTGTTTACGCCCGGGATTTTCTCTGTGCCCGGTATGGTGCTGCACCACGCGGCTAACTCTTGCAAAAGAATAGTAATCTGGAAAAGCATCGAAATTAGCATAGAATCATATAACATCCGAATTAAAACACACCTTATACCGAACATCATATTTTAATTAGTTGAAATCTATAATATATGTATTTGATTTAATTTATTGTATATTAGCTTTTGGTGGCGTCACGCGTTAATTATTAATTAATCGCAAAATTAAATCGCCTATAAACAAGGAATCTCAAATTTGAGTCCAGCGCCATCTATCAAAAAACGGAGGAAACTATTCCGCATTTAGTTCCCGCCGGTTCCCGATAGATGGCGCGATCGCCCTCCTGAAACCGATCGGTAAGTTGTTGAGTAGTTTCCGTTGTTTTTGTATAGATGGCGCCAGGATCGAATTTTTAAAATACTAAAATAATTATGGCGGTTTTTTTTAAATGGGCTTCTTATTTTCATTTGAAACGGCGAGGTGGGGCAGAAGAGGTAAAACAGGCGCGACTGTAATACCAACGGTGCTCTGAACATACATGCTGACCTAACCTCACCTGGGGGTATCTGGGACCCTTGAAATCATGATCCCTTTAAATCAGTAAAGGCATGTTCAGTCTTTTCCTATCTGTAATCACTGGTGATATGAAAAAATAATAAACTATATATATCTATATAGTTGTTTGTAATAATTGTTTTACACATTTATGATGGTAGATGAGTCGACGAAGAAAACATTAAGCAACATTCCGTTGTTACAGACAAAAGCAGGTCCTAGGGACAAAGAATTGTGGGTGCAAAGATTAAAAGAAGAATACCAAGCTTTAATTAAAGTAAATTTTATTTTGAATATTTTGTATTCCATATGGTTGACGTTGAAGAACTTGAAGTATTATTGTATAAGTCACTATTGATAATTAAACAACAAATTAAGTAAACAATTTCTAATATATATTTAACATTTTATATTGTTTTCAGTATGTGAAAAATAATAAAGATTCTGATAATGACTGGTTTCGTTTGGAATCTAATAAAGAAGGTACAAGATGGTTTGGTAAATGTTGGTATATTCATAATTTTTTAAAATATGAATTTGAAGTGGAATTTGATGTAAGTAAACCTTCCTTTTATCATATTCATAAAATTTGTACAAAAATCAGATAAGCTTTTTTTTTTATCTTTAGATACCTGTTACATATCCTACAACTGCGCCAGAAATAGCCTTACCAGAGTTGGATGGTAAAACTGCAAAAATGTACAGAGGTGGAAAAATTTGTCTCACAGATCATTTTAAACCTCTGTGGGCACGTAATGTACCCAAATTTGGAATTGCTCATGCAATGGCACTTGGTGTATGTTTGTTTACTTACTGATACATTTTTTAATGATCAATTTTATTGTTATACAAATTTAAAAAATGTATTATTATTTCAGCTTGGACCATGGTTGGCAGTTGAAATTCCTGATCTTATAGAAAAAGGTGCCATAACACATAAAGATAAAATTAATGAAAATAAATCATAATTACAAGAAATAATATTGTATAATATTTATATTGAAAATATCGTTTTTAGTTCACATATGGAAATTAATTGATTTATATAATAAATATTAAATTTTATATTTAATATGAATATTTACAATACTTTAAATGTTATTTACAGAAATCACTAATCTTCGTCTGTCTTAACTTTTTTTGTTTCTTTTATAATCTCATCTAACCTATACAAATCTTTAAGAGATACTTGTCCAGTACCTCTTTCTAAGGGTTTTGGTTGCAATGGATCTGGTTTCCAACCTAGTAGATATATCACTTGAAATGTGGCAGGTACATATGGGCTACCATCATCTTTAAGTTTTCCATACAATTCTTTGTATATTGCAGCAGCTGCAAGTATAGTGTCTTTATTTAAACGTAATTTTCTATTTCTTGCTGCATTGTTTTCAGCCATCCCTATAAAAGTTTGAAAGAACATTACAACAAAACAAGCACTGATTCAATTTCATCAGAACTTCAACCAATACCTTTTAAATCCCACATTAACTCAAACATGCTTGGATAACCAATAACTATTTCATCTGTATCAATAGTTAACATTGTAAAATTTGCTCTTGTCAACAAAGCTCCAATATCTCTAATTTCTGCAAAGGGAGATATGTGTGCTGAAATACCACCATCTCTTTCTAATTCTGCTAATTGTAAAGAGCATCTAAAAGAAGAAGAACAAACATTATGTTGATACAGTTAATATAAACTTCTTTAGAATACCTTAATTCATACAGAGTCTCTCCTCCAAATATAGCTGCCATAAAGACCCCATCATTTTTTAAACTTTTATTAATGTTCTTGAAACACCTTGGTAGATCATTCACCCAATGAAGACTTAATGAACTTACTATCAAGTCTAAACTATCAGGTTCAAATTCAAAATTTTCTTCATCCATAACTGTTCGCAATACTTTAATTCCCTCTGTAGTCTTTACTTGTTGTAGAATGGTTGGGGACATATCGCTTAGAATCAATTCCTCTACAGATTCTGCTAAAATATGTTTTGATACATGACCACGACCGCACCCTAAATCAAGAGCTTTTTTAAACTTTTTCTTTATATCAAATATTCTATCTGCTAATCTAGAGCCTACTTCATCTTTAATGTAATCGTACACTTTTACGTCGGGTGCTTGGGTAGCACGTTCTCTTTGAAGTAATTTTGTGTTTCTATCAAAAACATACATTACACTATCTGCTGGTAACGCATAGTTTATTACACTATTATTTATACTACGAGCATTTTTAATATCAAACACAAATCGGCGTACAGAACGTTTAAATGCAGCTTGCATTTTCGGTTGGAAGTTTTGTACGCGGCTTTCTTCAAATATTAATTATGTAATTTCAGTATTAGTAACAGTAGTATTGTATGAAGTATATAATGTTAAAATGTTTTATTAATATATTTACATTTTTTGTTAGAATTTTGTTATAATCGATGTTCTCAGATGTACCATCGTTTATACGATATAACCTATAAATTATAATGTATTTAATGTTGTAAAATTGCAATTTTACACATATAATTTATTCAATTAAAAAAAGATTTACAAAAATTTTGCATAAAATGTTACAATAAAAATAAATAAAAATAATTGAAGTTGATATTTAAACTGATTACATTGTTTTTATTTTTAAAAAATTATAACTGTTGAAGAATTGTATTTATATATACGAATATATGTATAAAACTTGTTTGCTAACAAATAAGTTTATGTAAACAATTTCGAATCGTTCTTTTAATTACATATTTAATATGATTTATAATACATTCATTTAATATTACATCTACATATGTACGCTTGTCTGTAACAGTATTTATTAAAATCCGTCATTAAACCACATAATAATAACTATTATAATTAATATTATCATCTACTATATACACGTTGATAAACACATTCCTAATATTCAATGAAATATATTATTTCACATATGAGTAAACATGAAGATATTAAACATTTAATTTTACATGACAATGCACATAACAGTTCTAAATGTCACAATCATTATCACATGTATATCTTTAATGGCAATAAACAATGCGATGAAAAAATGTTCACTATGAAAATTAGTTTAACTTGTTAAAAAAACTGTATAAAAATGATTGATGCAAATTAAAAAAATTTCAAGGTCAATTTTAATAATTATAACATAATTAAGTACATTTACTATAATTAAGAAATATTAATTGCAATAAAATAATGGTCCATACACGTCTTATTATATGTGAAACTGGGTGTATCACATCTTTGCATGTTCTGCCTTTCAATATGATAAAATTTACAAATAATAAATGTTTTTTTATTCATAATCTTTGAAAAAGTATTAAAATGAAAACTCTGTATAAAAGTCAGTTCTAAATATAACTAAAAAAATTTGTACAATTATGTAATCACAATAAAAACAAATATCAATGTATTTTGAGGCGCAGTATGTAATATTAAACCCGGAAGCTAGGAAAATTCTAAAAAATTCGTTACGTATCGTAACACGTATCGAGATAAATTTGTTATTTAATTAATATTTGACGTAATATAGATAGCAAAAGAATAGTATGAAAGCAATTATATACCTGTATTATACTTAATGTAATTACTACTGAAACTTTTCATTCTAGTGCTTTTTGTCATTTAGCGCTGAGCTTAAATCGTTAGAAAATATTATTTTGTTGTTGTTGCTGTTGTTATAACACAATATTTACCTGTAGCGTACTACTGATTGCTTTAACAACTTAAGTGCAATGTATTGAAATTGCCATCTTTTTATATTTTTAGATTCGTGTGTAGATTAATTACAATAGAACATATTTTGAAAGAATATCAGAAATAATCAATTAGTTTGCAAATTAACATAATTTGTTACGAAAATAATATCAAAGCTCAAAGTCATATCTGATCTGATGAGAGTAACGAAGCCTCTTTTATGCTTTTAAAAAATGTCGAGATTTGGTGATATTTGGTGCTAATGATAATTACTTTGGCCTCAAATTACTGATAGAAGTAGGTAATGTGAAATGTGTTGACGCTGAAATAGTTGTTGTAGTACATGCAGGGACCGGTATATCGCCCATAGTTGTAACATTCGTTTCACTTTTATAACGAATGTTAGTGTATTCCCGACCTAGATGAAGAGATTTCTGTAAAAGCAATAGTAAATTAGAATTCAATTTGTAAGTAAAGGTCAAGAAATAATTAAATAATTACCTGTTCTGCTTGCATTCGTTGAGATACAGTTTCAATGTAGTGTAATACAGCAAGATAAACAAATTTATATTGCGCTTCTGTTTGAACCATTCCTGATCTCTGTGAACGTACTCTTTGAATAGTTCTCTGAATATCAATTTCACAATCCAATCCTTCAAACAAAACGTCCACAAAATATTTAAACGTATGTTACATTAAGAATGCATTGAAAATAAAAATAAACATAATTTAAATATTATTACCATGACGCTTGATTTGATCAAGAATCATATCAATAACAATAAATGTTCCAGTTCTACCAATTCCAGCACTACAATGTACAAGAATTGGTCCTATACTTGCTACACTTTGACCATTTGAAGTAAGAGAAGTAGCAATTGATTCTTGTCTTGCATTAACGTCGTGAAGGAAATTTAATACACATCCAGGATCTGATGGAACACCATGATCGGGCCACGCCTAAAAAGTTAGTGCAACTGATATAATTAATTTCATTATTTAAAATATAAGTGAAAAATCATTGTAAATAATAATAAAGTACTTGAAAGTGATAGTGGTAAATTCTTCTCGACTCTGTGAAACATGGCTTGCTTCCATGCAATAAAAATTCTCGTAATGTATAATCTGCCGTTGAAGTACGAGACAAAGCACGAACTTTCCATTCACCTCCGTATTCTGTAATTTCACCTTCCTCTGGCCAATATCGAGCACATTTATTCTACAAAGAAATAAAAATATATACGTACATACAATTTTAAAATACAATTCTGGTATTTATCTTTAAAAAACATACTTTTCCTCGCTCCATTTCTTTTGTGGTCATAACTATTACTCGTGTATTTTCTTGATACACCATGTGCCAAAAATCGTGTATTGTGTTTGGAAGACAACCTTGTGTTGCTATGTAACATTTATTAAAAGATCCACTATCTCCCCCAGCATTAATACCACTAGTTTGACTATCTCCTTCCTCATTCTGCAAATTTTTTAACATGTACATATAACACCGAATGTCCAGTTATAATTTTTCCTTCAAATACAAGTAAATTTCATCCGAACCTTACCCTAATATAATTGGCATTAATATAATCAGCTCCAGGAATACTTGGATCAACATCTTTTAAACGCACTCTTGTATGATCAACTATAAAATAATTACTTGACAATTATTTTAACTAATTTATTATCGATAAGATAATTGGTTATATATATAAAAAATCTTACATGGTAAAATATTTTTATATCGATTCTTTGCTCGATTTTCAGGACGTAAACCTTCTTTTCTAGAAAATAAGTGACGACATTCCAACTGTTGTAATGATTCAAATTCTTCCCAGAAACCAGCTTTTCCTTTACCACGCCCCGTTCCTCCTTCATTGCTACCTGTAGCTCCATTCCATAGCCATCCGTTTGAACAACCATTTTCCTTATGTAATTGTCTCACTCTGCTTTCAATACCGCTTGCATTTATGCGAGTAGCATTGAAAGGTTGTCTTCAAAATAAGAGATAAATATATTATATTGTGACGTATAAAATACATATATTACGAAGTGAAGATGACGTACTAACCGTAAATGAACAACACTTCCACTTGTTTCAACCATTGGATTACGTTTATAATGTTCTATTAAATCACTTAGACTATCAAATTTATCACCTCCTCCAACATCATATTTATTATCCTGCAATATTTGTTACCTTATAGTAGCAATGAATCGTGTATGTTAGTTGTAACTTGTGGTATACATACATCAAAAATTTATTATGAATATGTAATATGAAATACAAAATGAAATTAACCTGAGATCGTATTATAACATGTGTAACACGATCATCTGTGCGTACAGATAGTACAAAGTCACCAGGTTTACTCTGGGATTCACGAACCAGAAAAGATCCATTTTTACCTCGCTCCAGCATTAAACGTTCTGCTTCTTTAGCTGATAAATGGCCATGGAACCACCTTTACCCATATTTTACTATTAACACATACCATGCTATATGCGTGCATTTGAAGTAACAATAACAAGAAATTCTTCCAATGCATAACAGAGCTTATTATAATGTTTATTATGAAAATATTAAATGTATATTGTACTTTGATTAAAGAAATACCTTTCAGTTGTTGGATCTGCACAATTTAATGGATATTTTAATTCAATAACTTCTCCATTTTTTTCACGTAACTGCCCTCCATTTTCCATATAAAATTGTACAAGTTCTGACAAGGTTGCAAACTTTTCACCACCATAAAGATCATAGAAGTCTCCTGTATTTTGTATTTTAATATGAGTTACCTCACCATTTCTCCTAAAAATAACATAAATATGTCACAAAAATGATTTATTTGAAGATAATATGATATATGTATACATACCTTACAGACAATGTGAAATCACCGGGATTAGATGAACTTGGACGTGCCAAAAATGAACTATCATAACCTCGTTCCATTAATAAGCGCTCTGCTTCTAAACCCGATATGTTCGGATGAAACCATCTGTAATAAACATTTTTACATTCATATTGTACAAAATCTGTTATTTATATAACATGCAACAGGAATATAAGAAGGTAGCTTAGAATTTGTACTTCAAAGTTGTAGTAAACTTACTGCATTATTAATTATCAATGTTTTATTTCAAGAGAATATAATTTATTAAAATTTTCACTATTTTTATTACTTTATTAAATAAATTATTATATTCATACAATAATTTCATAAACAAAACCACATTTTTATTCCATTTTTTATCAGTTTAATAATTATATTACAAATATAACTGAAACTGTATAAGCATAGTTACAAATTTCGTTTCAAATAAATAATACACATATATTATTTAGATATGTACAGAAATTTAAAAGTACTGTATCCGTCTTAGATATGCAGTAAACGACGGTTAACTTATTTAAGTCTGCATACCTTATTTCTGATTGTTTGAGTATAATCCGCGGTTAACACTGATAAATAAGTAGGCCTATTCAACGATTGTCCGTGAATTATGATAATTACATATTTTTAATGCAAATATAATAAAAACGTGCCTCACCTGCGAGATGCCATGTCGTAATTCCAACTATGACCAGCTGGTTATTAATAATTCATAACGCTTCATCGATATTCGTACTTATAATTCGCAACTGTAATTGCTTTTAGCTTAATGCTAACTACACATCGTCACAGTCTTTGACACATTCACTCTACCTAAAACAAAAAACTGAAACCATTGAAAGATTATACCATAGATTTTTAGTTTTTAGAGTGGACACTTTCAAAGTAAACAGATAACCAAACTTAATGTCGGTTTCATAGAATTATTGTTACATTGTGAATTTAAATTCACGATTTGATTCGTTATATATATATATTTATAATAAACACATTTGAGCCATCTACCGTTATTATGTTACGATAATTGCATGGTAATAAACTGAATCAAATCATAATTTTCTATACATTAATTACAAATTATTAAATAGCTTAAATCCAACGGATCTCTGGAATTCTCCCACTCTGTCTCTTCCCCTCAAATAGGTTATGAAAAAAAAAAAACACGATGGACCTCTATGATAGACAAGGTATACATATACCGCAGTTCACCAGAGTCCATAACTGCGACGCGCAGGTTGGAAGATGGTGGGGGAACGCAGCGAGCTCTCTGCTAATCGCTTTCCACTTCGTTTGGAAGTATCGCCAATCAGGGCGAAGATGCGTACTGGAGATGCGCGAAGAACGAAAATTGGTCTTTTCGCAGTTATGGACTCTGGTGAACTGCGGTATACATACTTATAGAGGAGAGTTCACCTTTTTTTTTTTTTTCATAACCTTTTTTTTATGATAGATTGCGCTGTATTCACTCTTCTTTCCAAACATCAACATCACTATACGATAAAAAATAAATGAATCTTCACGGGAAGCACCTTAATCCAGGTAAGTATGTATTTACTTACATACAAGGGACACAAACGAGTAAATATGACAGGGACGAGCATCAGTCCCTTGGCGATGCAAAGTGATATAGTGTAATACAACAAAATACGATATCAATGTGACCAGTTGCATAAAGTGACATGTCCTATTGCTAAGAATTGTATCACATTGCTTTGAAAGATCTTCCTAATATTTGACCTTGATATACAATAATTTCATTTTCGCGGTCAAAGTCAGTATTGGGCGTCCATGTTTAAGGCGATGTCAACCAGCACTTCAGTACCATAGAAACGAAGACAGCGTGGGGGATGTTCTTTAGCTCCGGGCTACTCCGGGCGCTGCTCTTGGAAAGGTTTATCTTGAGTAATTGGTTCGGCTAATTGCAAATTCTGCCGGCTGTGAAATATCAGTACGCTTTATGTCGGCATTATAGTATGTTAGTTTTCTTGTATAGTAATTTATTAAAAATTATTGAGTACTTATAAATATATTTTGCTTAGGTAGATATAGGTTTTCCAGACGAAGATGGGTCAGCATGTTTCAAGAACTGATTTTGAATGGGTTTACACCGAAGAACCGCACGCATCACGTCGTAAAATAATTTTAGGTATGAATGTAAAATGTAGTATATGCATCAAATATTATAATTTGTTTAATTGATCTGTATCGTTGATGCTTTTCCTCAACAATTGTCAACAAAATATTGTTAAAAATGTTAATAATATCGATTGCTGTTGTCATATGTATAAAAAGCTTAGTTAATATTTATTGTTATGCGCTTACATTTATCCAAAATTTTAGTCTAGTACCTATTTTATAATATATTTTTGTTTCAGAAAAATATCCCCAAATAAAAAAACTATTTGGATATGATCCAAATTTCAAATGGATAGTTACAGGAATGGTTTTAACTCAATTCATATCTCTTCTTTTTATCAAAGATTTAAGCTATCCATTATTATTCCTCATGGCATATTGTTTTGGAGGTATAATTAACCATTCCCTTATGCTAGGTATGTAATTTAGAATATCATATTGGTTATTATTAAGACTAACATACAGGGAAAGTTTGTGTGTTCTCATAACAGATTATTTATATAAAGGCTTGAATAATCTTATCAAAGTATCGTAATATGTTATGATTATAATGTAATTTCAAGAGCAATGAATCATTAATCTTATCTGTTATATTCACTATAGTCATCAAATACTCCAATTTATTTATGATATATGATATATTAATAAAAATATCCTTTTATATTATATTTTAGCAATACATGAAATAGCACATAATCTTGCTTTTGGACATTCTAGACCAATGGCCAATAGATTATTTGGATATTTTGCTAACTTACCTATAGGTATACCAGTGTCTGTTAGTTTCAAAAAATATCATCTTATACACCATCGTGTAAGTAAAAATATTAAATGAAATAATAATAAATGATGTTGATAGATTCAATAATTATAATATATAAATTGTAGTATCAAGGTGATGAGAAATTAGATACTGATTTACCAACTTTATTAGAAGCAAAATTATTTTGTACAACATTTGGAAAATTTTGTTGGATATGTTTACAACCATTTTTTTATGCATTTCGACCTCTTGTCGTTTATCCTATGCCACCCACATTATTAGAATATATAAATTTGATTATACAACTTACATTTGATGGATTGTTATGGTACTTTTTAGGTGAGTTTTTAACAGATGAACAATTGAATTAAATAATGCGATAATATAAATATGTGCAGTAATAATAAATGGATGATTTATTTAATTTTATAGGTGGAAAAGTCTTAGTTTATTTGCTTGCTGGGTCAGCAATGGCTATGGGGCTACATCCTGTAGCTGGCCACTTTATATCAGAACATTATATGTATAAGAAAGGTTTCGAAACATATAGTTATTATGGTCCATTAAATTGGATTACATTTAATGTTGGGTACCACAACGAACATCATGATTTTCCTGCTGTACCTGGTTCAAGATTACCAGAGGCAAGTTCAGTTCCATTCTAGAGTTTTATTTCTTGGGAACTATACCAAATATAGTTGTTTTTACTTAAGGTTTTGGTATTTGTATATGAAAAATGAATATTATAAAAATATTTTATGCTTCTTGTAGGTAAAACGAATAGCCCCTGAATTCTATGATAATTTACCACAACATAATTCATGGGTTTCAGTCTTATATGATTTTGTTGTGGATCCTGATATAGGCCCATATGCAAGAATAAAGCGAAAGCATAAAGGACTTGCTTCATAAAACTTAGAAAATTTAATTTTTTTGCTTTTGTAGAAATAATATAAATGTTTAGTATCTGATACTTAACATTATTGGTATATTGAATACATAGAATATTATTAATTTATTTCATTATATTCAGTATGAATCAATAAAGTTAGTTTGTCTTTTGTCAATAGTAATAACAAAAACCAAGTTTGAAATATAATATACACATTATATTAATATTTTTTGACATTTATAGTATATTATAGTAAAGTATAATGGTTTATGTACAATTGTGTTTATAAAATTATATTCTATGTACCTGCTAAATTATCATAATGGTTAAAGTGTAAATGGAAGATGCTAAATTAGTAAAAAAATGTCCCATTCCACGATGATTATAAATAATTTAAGTGTAATGAAATGTAATAAAGAGAAAGTGAATATTTAGACATAATGATACTCGATTGAAGGTGTTAGTATAATATTTTTTAAACATGTTCGTATACAAAGAAAACAGTTTTCATAATTTTGTAATCTAGTCATAATGGAATAAATTTTCTATTACAAACACTAATGTTTGAATTCAATACAAATATTTGTTCTAGTTTTAGTCAGGTATGAATTATTTATTGAACTTCTTATTGAAATAAATTGTTTTCAAAAATCAACAGTTTTTAAGAATCTAAAAATCAAAATATATCATCTGAATGTTATAAATTTGTGTTAAATTGTTTGTATTATAATAATATTAAATTAAATGCTTGTATGTACAGTAATAATATGCAACCTTTCAATGAGTGAAAATTATACATGTATTTATATATGAAATACAAAATTTTTAAATTAAATGACATTTCTGCCTACCATCTTTACATATTTTAAGAATCCTATTCATTGTTAATAGCAGTTCATATGTACATACATATGCATATACATAGTATTTTTCAATATTACAAACAGTACCTTAAAATTTTTCACTCACTCAGATTTTGGTCTTTATCTAATCATACTTTTGTATCTATATAACTTTTGAGCTTGAAAATTGGCTATCTTAAACGCGTAGTAACTCAATTCGTTTTGTTTCATAGTAATAAAAAAAAAAAACGAAAAATGGTATCTATTCATTGTATAGGTGGTTTCTATTTTAAAGAAAATGCTAACAAAAATTACTCATACTGATTAATTTGTTGGAAGAATTACATTCGATAAAGTTATCATAACTGATGAAGTAACATTTTTGTATGATTAATTTTTTATTAATGCAATTGAAATCGTGAAGTATACGAAGATGCCCGCGTGTATTCTTTAAATAGTAATTGTATAGCGGTGATGCGTGAAGCATGTGTAAAATGTAACATTGTTTGTGTTCAACAAAAAGCTAATTGATATTTCATGTTTTTTCATAAATATTGGTACTCGTAATGTTGATGACTAATAAAAAGGAAGTAACAACAGCAAAATAAAATTTAGGCTACTTATTATAAAATGGTTTCTTCTGGTAAAGAAAGTTTTGTTTGCATGCCTACGCTTCGTCTAAAATATCTGCAATGTTACATCGATCTGATAATGAAAAAAATAATGTGTACGTGAATAGTATAATTTTGCACACATGTATATCTGTAATACAGCAAGTAGAATGGGAAAGCAAAACGGATCGTGTTGGTGGTTTGTAAAAGCCGTGAAATGGATACCAGTTATTTTCATCTTGACGATTGTCTTATGGTCATATTATGCTTATGTGGTGCAGTTATGTTTTTGTAAGTATTCTATAAGACGATACCCTTTTAATAATTGGGATAACACTTCTGTATTTTAATGAAATTATGTTTATTTTATAAAAATATTTAAATTACTATGTTGAAAATTTAAAGTTGATATATTACATACATATACTAATAGTCTTTTTAATATTTTTTCTATTTAGATACAGCAGATAATTATGTTCAAAAAGGTATGTATATATATAGTTACTATCATATACAAAAAAGTATATTATATCAATAACATATCATTAACTCAATGATATTTCTCTGTTAACAGTATTCTACTTGTTTTTCTATCATGTTCTATTTTTCTTATTCTTATGGTCTTATTGGCAAACTGTATTTACAGACTTGATAGAAATACCAACTAAGGTAAGATTTATTCTTTACGGTAATTATTATAGCACAGATACATATTAAATTAATAATGTGATATCTTGAATAGTTTAGAATACCAGATGTAGAAATGGAGAAATTTCAGCAGGCTGAAACTGAAGAGGTACAGAGACAAATCTTAGAAAGATTTGCACAAGATCTTCCAATCACAAATCGCACTATAAAAGGAGGTATTAATAAATATTATATAATAATGTATATGTTACACATATGCATACACGTAAAATACGTACATACATTTGTATAATATTTTTTTAGTAATACGTTTTTGTGAAAAATGTCAGTTAATTAAACCAGATCGAGCACATCATTGCAGTGTGTGTAGTACATGTGTTTTAAAAATGGATCACCATTGTCCATGGGTAAACAATTGTGTAGGTTTTCACAACTATAAATTTTTCATGCTGTTCCTGGCATATGCTCTTCTGTATTGTATATTTATAACTGCTACATCTTTACAATACTTTATATGCTTTTGGAAAGTAAGTATTATTTTTTATTAAGTACTTCTCTTATCTATACTAATATATAATTTGCTAGAAAATCATTTTGTGGAACATACTTTTACTCAAATGTGTTACAATTATAAATGATTGTTATTGAATTAAAAAAAAGTAAATGTATGATTAAGTTTATAGGGAAATTCAAATGTCTATGTATTGTTTTTTATGCCGTTCTTTTCTGAAAATAATATAAATTTTATTTTATAGGGGGAGTTGGATGGAATGGGTAGATTTCATCTACTTTTCTTATTCTTTGTGGCATTGATGTTTGCTCTTAGTTTAAATTCTCTTTTCTTTTATCACTGTTACCTTGTTTTACACAACAGGTCTACATTAGGTAATTAAAAAAGATGCATGCCCTTCCATAATTTTTTAAATATTGTTTGTAGTGTAACATCTGTTATTATCTGCACTGTACTGTGTAATGTTTTTAGAGGCATTCACACCACCCATGTTTCGTACAGGGAAGGATAAAGATGGTTTTAGTCTTGGAAAATACAATAATTTCCAAGAAGTATTTGGTGATAATCCTAAACTATGGTTCCTTCCCATTTTTACTAGGTAGGTTTATCAATATAATTAAGATATTTTAGTTCTTTAATTCGTAAAACTTCAAATTTTAATGATGTAATGAAATTTATAAGACTGTGAACCATTTGCACAATATATGAGCATAAAGGATTTTGGTATTAATATTACAATTATTTAAGCATTTATAATTCATGCTTATTCATTATGTAAAGAAGCACGTTTACGTTAATGTATTATACTACGTATATAACGTAGCAGAAATTATTTTAAATTAATAATTATCATTGTCATTTATTTAACAAATTAGTTATCCATATCGTTATATGTATAGAGAATAGTTCTTAGAGACATAAAAGCATTTTAACTTACAGTGCTTTCTATTATATTATACATATTTTTCTTACAATGTATATATTTTAAATTAAGTGGACATAATAGTATAACTTTGTAAGACAACTGGCTTATACATACATAGAACATAAAAATGAAGAAAATGGTAAAATTGAACAAAGTCTATGTATACAAATTATATAAACTGCCTTAAAAATCAGTCACGTAAATCCGTTTTCTATTCCATCGAGGATCAAATATTTAAACAACTTCTTATATTATTTCAATGCTTACAAATGTTGTTATATGATTACAAAATTTATTAGTAATATGTATTGAGGATTCGTATGTTTCTTTAACATTTCAATTAATTGTACTACATATATAAACGTAATAGTAATTGTATTACCGTTAAGTCGCGATGGGTGCATTAAATGTGTTCTAGTCTTGGAAACGGTGTCACCTATCCGGTACGTGCGCAACATCAAGGCACACCCAATACTTACGACTCCATGGGCAGTACTCGAAACAGGTCAGCATTATAGAAGTCTACAGTGCCAAAATATAATAGCTATACATATATAAACTTTACTATGGAACTCCTTAGTGTTATTGATTAAAAGGCAGTTAATATTTAATAACATTGATTAATCGGTTATCTCATTCAAAAAGGATTTAAATAAATTAAGAAAAAACATTTTCTTCATATTGCTTTCTTTAAGTTCATTGTATTTAGTTTATACATAGATTTCTTTTTGTTTAAAAAAATTATGATTTGTCATTTATTTTATACAGAGTTCCAAAGTAATAATAGTCTGTATACATTGCTTCTTAATGCATGCAACTATTTTATTTCTGCTTTTATTTAGGAATTACTGTTATGAAAGTTCATTGATTTACTACTGATATTAACATCTTCATTTTTAATAACATAAGGTCGGTCAAGTTATTACTCAAATACTAAATTTACTTCATTTTTTAATTAATTATTGTTACACGTGTTTCATAATTTATTAAAATATGTCCGTATGTAATGTTGAATTTTAATAGGTACACTAATCTTTTGTAACATTTACGGCCATTGTTATTCCTATCATAACTCAATCTACCATTTTATTTCATATGATGTTTGTTAAACATTGTGTTAAAGTTATTCGGTATTTATTATTTATCATAAAATTAAGTAAGATTAAATTTATATCTTGTATTTAATCTACAGATAATCATTAATTGAGGTGGACTTTGAAATAGGTATTAGCTTCATTTTAAGCTGATTTAAAAATGCATGTTCCTTTCGTAGATGCATTATGTTCTATACTGATACACAATTATATTTATTGTTAGTACGAATTTTTTACAATTTTGAAAAGTATTGTGCATCTGGTTCTTACAGATTAATATTTATTTAATTATAAGAGGAAGTGTAACTATAATTAATATTATAGTGTTGCTATTAATTGTTAAAAATTAAAATTATGTATCAGAATTAAATATGTATAAAAATCTGTATACTAAAAAGTAAAATTCACTTTCAGTATAATATTTGTTAGAAAAACTGTGTTCAATAAATTAAGAAGAGGGAAAGTTAAATTTTAATCTTGAAACACTTTGTAGTTTATACAAATTTGTTAAAATTAGGTAGTTACACTACCTCTAGGTGTGAATGGGATTACATCAAGTAGAAGGTAGGGTGTGGGTTACAGTTTTGGAGATGGGGTAAACTTTCCTGAACGGCTGTGCGATGAAGACACACATACTCTATTGGGACCTACTACCCAACAATGGGGTGATGAGACCGAGCTTGATTCTCCACCTCCTTATGGGTCACAATCAGGTATTGTGTAGTCTGAATCTCTGTGTTGAGACAGTGCATTAACCCATATGCATTGTTCAAATACACAATATTTCTGATACAAAACTCATATTAGCCATAATTACTACGTGTACTATGTTTATAAAGAAAATGTTATTCAGTTATTTGAATCATTTTATATATTAATATGAATACATATTTTAATCATCTTTTCTCTCACAAATAAGTTTACTATTATTATCTTATCAAAGAGCAGCAAGTGTATTTAAATACTGTAGTATTTAAAATGTTATTTTATATTAAGTATTACATATAGGAATTGATTTAGTGAATTAATTGTATTAATTGTAAACTATTTACTTTTTTTATTTTTTTTTTTAATTCAATATATATACAGTATATAGTATTAAAATAGATAAATATTAATATTATTATATAACTTACACATAGTTTTCAAGAATGAATTAATCTATAAACTTATAAAAAATTTAAATATTTAACTTTGCTAATATAAAGTAAACTGTTAAGTGAAACGAAATTTTAGTATTTCATGAAAATATATATTAATTTTATGAAAGTATAAGTTAACAAAGAGTTTACCAATACATTCTTATTTTATGTAATTATTATATGCATTTTATAGCTTTTTGTACAAAAATTTAATCATTAATAGAACAGTCAAAATATAAAATGTTTAAAAATAAGTACTTATATAGTTAATAGGGAACATTTTTTCATGATAATTAGTACAAACATATAAATTTATACAGTAAATAAGATGATTAGAAAACTATGCTTAAAAAAATTATATAAAAGTTATATAAATTGTACAATACTTTTATGTACAATTAATTGTTACATTCCTTATTTATGTATTTGCTGATTTGCAGGATACATAATAAATACTATGTATGAAATATATATAAAATTTTATCATCTATTATTAAATAAAAAAGCTGTAATAAAACGAGAAGAATAAATTGGTAACGTTCAAATATTCTATGTGTTTGCAATGAATGTAAATAATTTAGGTATCATCAACTTTTAACCTATTGTTTCCATTTTATTGAAGCTGTTCATTGCATGAATAGAGAATTATGTTTGTATTTTAATATGCATGTTCCACTACAGATTAATATATATTTATTACAAAATTAATGAATAACTAAAAAGCTTAAACTTTATCTTTAAGTTTTGATTTTGTAATTAGAAATTTTATTTATTTTTTTCTTTTTTACACACATCTAATAAATTGTATTTTTATTAATCTGTTACTGTATTTACAGTTTTCAGATTACACTGCATTAACTTAATTAATTCATTGCATTTGATAGTGATAGAAAGAAAAATAATTTGTTCTTATGATTAATAAAAAAGAATGTAAATTGATGTATGTAAGATGTTTTTATTAGTATCTATTTATAAACTTGTATTATGTTTTATACATAATATATTTAATTTTTTGTAATGTACATATCTTTTAAATAATAAACTGTACAATTATTATTAGAAGCTTTCAGATATAAGTCATGTCCTAAACTAACAAGATGTTAGGTGATAACAGTATCAATATTTTTCCAAATTTCTGCTGAAACAATGGCATGTTCATTCTACTGGACATGGCTTACAATCTATAGCATCTAAGAAATAATAAATGAGAAATACTGAGCCTCAAGAAGAAGTTTCAGATTTATTTGAATATAAAACGTATAACGCGTGCATATTGATGCATTTATTTAATGCAATATTTAGGTTGAGTTTTTGACTACAGGTCCACCTTTGATCAAATGACTTTGGTAGAAGAAGCTACAATTTTGGCTCTTGGCACTGGGTAATAATGAATTGTACATTTGACATTTTGATGTTTAATCAGAAATAACATGTTTGTTTTCTAAAATTTTGCAGTACTAATAAATTTTCTGTTTCTAAAATGAAAATAGAATTGAATTTTATAGAATTAGTGTAAAAAGTTGTGTATTTAAGATTATAAACGTCGTTAATGTATTGTATTCATTGCTATTCATGATTTATTTATTAATCGTTTTAATATTTATTTTGAAAATATTTCTATTTCTATTTTGTATAACATCACTTTATAGTATAAGATTTATTACAGAAATATATTAGAAGACAAATTGTGAATACCATTTTAATTAGGCATACAGAATCGGAATAGTATGGCAAACTTGAGTTTTGTATTGCATGTTTAATTTTTGTTCGTTCGTTTATTTACAGAAATTAACAATTATTGCAGTTTTATACAGAGAAGGTGCTAAGTTTCATAATTATTTGTTACTTAAATCATGTATCATAATATTTTAGTTTTTAAATATTTGTGTTTATACTATCAGTCCCTATATATTTGATTAAATATTTCTTTTTTTGTTTTAAATATTTTACAGCACTGCTGTGATAGGGTCAACTGCTGATGCTAACCAGCCACTGGTGGATGCAACTGAACTTGTTTGAGATACCATTTTCCAGTTGTGTTGTATGCTTTTGACAAATGTTTAGCGGTAACAGATTTTCATTTCAAAATGTTTATGTAAATCCTTTGTGTTTGTCATTTTTAATTTTAATTATGTAATTTAAGAGAAAATTGATAAGAAATATTTCATTGTCTTTACTAATGACTCACAAATTAAGTACATTTCACTAAAGTTTTATTGTTTGCTATTTTTGTTCTATTTAGTAAAATAATTTTATGTACAGATACAAAGGATTAATACTAAGATCATATACATTACATTGGAATCTTCATTTTTTGTTTTTTCATGTACATATTATATGATTTAAAAAAAAAATTAGAAGCAAATGTATGTAGGATAAGTTGCACAAAATTTTTAACGTTTCATGTATATATAATATTGTTGGTAGTGTAGCTATTGTTATGTATGATAGCATATATAATTAGTGTTACAATTTATAATGGCATAGTTTATAAATAATAAGTTGCTGATTAAAATTTCTGTCACCAAAATGTAGAGCATGAAATAATTTGGTGATAAATGTAAATTTTCATAGTTAAAAAACGTTACTATTACAAATGTAATGATAGCATAAAATTTTACTTTGAAGGAATAATGAACTGTTGCACAGGTAATAGTGTAAGGGTCTACCCAAAATCCCATTTCTCAACTATCTGTGGTTATAACATATTGCTTGTTTTCATTGATTTTAAGATTTTAAGCTCTGTTCTTTGTAGATTTGGAGACTACCCTGTGCTAACTCTGAGATGTGCTATTAAATAGAAAAATAATATCTATAGTTTTTTTCAAATAAAAAACATTACAGAATAAATAATAGATCAATATAATTATTAAAGTAGTGGAACAGCAAATTTTTTTATTTTGTATAAAATATTGGTTCACAATATCTACTGTAAAATATAAAACATATCAGATTTCATCCTATATGTATATGTATATGTTCTTGAAGTCAAGAAACTATAATATAATATAACATAATCATTAATTATTGTAGTAAGAATGTATGGTTTCTTTATACATTCATGTTATTTTTTCACTATAATAATTTCCTTTTTTTTTCTTTTTTAATAATGTAACGAACACGTTGTTCACTAATTGTTATAAATGTATTTCACTTGATTATTACAAGTAAACATATTTTGTACTTAACATTTTTGCAGCTATTTTTATTAATATAAGATGAATAATTTTGAAGCAGTGGTATGTTTGGAAATCAATACAGTATGCATTTTGTAATTAACAAATCTCATATCTATGTAACTGAAATAAGTTAATAGGTTTTTGTAGCATTTCAGTATCGTATTTATATTGCTGACCATAGTATTACTATTGATTGTCATATTAAAAGAAATACATTGCACTATTCAATTTAAGAAAAAAAAGAAAATGTATTTAAAGAAATTCTGTTCATTTTCGTTTTATTATATAAAAATATGAGAAATATGATGCAAATATAGTCATCAGTGGGAATGCTTTATTTTTTTCTTGAACAATTTAAAAAAAATTAAGTGGTTATGGCTCTATGTTACAATTTGTAACCATATTTTTGTATCCAACTTAATCCTTCTCTTGAAGATGACTTAGGAAAGTATTCTAAACCAATATATCCATTGTATCCTTCTTGTTCTAAAGTAGCAAGAACATATTTGTAATCTATTTCTCCTGGTGTATCAGGTTCATGTCTATTAGGAACTTGTGCTATCTGTACGTGCCCTATAAATTCAAAGAAATGTAATTTCTACATGTACTTAAAATTTTTATGTATGGAATAAAGAATATGTACCTATATATGGCATTAATTCTTTGATGTTTCTTGTAATATTACCAGAAATATGTTGCAGATGAAAAACATCAAGTTGTAATTTTAAAAATGGGCTATTAATTGTTTTTACTAATTCTAAGCCTGTATTAAATAAATAAATTAGTAAACATAACAATATTGTCACAAACACTTGTTCTATATGAAATACCTTTTTGAAAACTATTCATATAATAATCTGGTACAGTAATATTATTGATAGGTTCAATAACACCAATTATTTTTTCTTTTTCAAATTTCTCCACTGCATACAGAAGATTATTTAAATATGTACTATCATTAGTAGTACTTATTTGATTTACTTTTCCTGACATTATATGAATCCTAATAAAAAAATGATGTATTAAAATCTTAAATGTTTAAAAAAGGATCATAACATTAGTAATCAATATATAACATATATATATAAAATACTTTTACCGCAAACAATTTAAAGCTTTTGAATATTCTATAGTGGTATCAATACTTTTTTTAAAATTTTCTTCTTGACCAGGTACTGCTGCAAATCCCAGTTCCCCTTTCGTGACATCTCCTATTAAAGTCAAATAAAAAACACCATAGTTTTCAAAAGTATTTTATACAATTTTTATTATTATTAGTAATTAATAAATACCTGTATATACATTTATAAGAATTTGCTCAATATCTGCCTTTTTTCTAGCTTCTGATACATCTTTAACAGTGTAACCAAAAGGAAATCCACTTTCTACTGCTTTAAAACCAGCCTCTTTTGCTAATCTATATCTTTCAGTAATAGATGGTGCCTCCGTAAACATAAAAGACAGATTACTCGCAAATTTGAGGCTCATATTTAATTAAAAGAATATTCTCACCCTACAAATGTATATAGAAAATTAAATACTTGTGATATTATGTAACTCTTCTTATCTTTCAAGTACGTATGTACATATATACAGAATTAATATCAAACAGATGTGTGTGTATATATATATATATATTTGTTATCACTAAAACAGTCATAATTATGCTATGCTAACCTCGCTATTTATTAAATGGGATAATTTTTGAAGGGCAGAGGGGAGTGTAAAACGATTTGTATTGTAATGTTATCATAATTTATATAAGTTCTTTAGAGAACTGTTACATTATATGTATAATATGGGAAGAAATGTAATGATGTTTTTATAAATATTTTGCTTTATTTAACATGAAGTTAAATGCATTGGAAACCAATGTGACTTAATATAAATTAAACGCAAGAAGTAATGAATCATTAAGCAATTTTTAACATTATCACTCGTCATCGTCACGGACGCCACCACCTGGTACTTTTGGTCCTCCAGCACGTTTTGCCATAATAATTTGATCAACCTTAAGTACAGTGCATGCAACACCAACAGCATATTTTAAACTCCATTGTTTTGTTAGAAACAAGTCTATAATTCCAGCTTCAGCTGTGTCATTAAGTGCTGCACCTTTATCCTATAAATAAACATTTGTCAGTATATAAATAATATTACATAAAACAGAGAACTTAGATATAAATACGTACGTCAATAACGAAACCATAATTCTTGTTGTCTTCTTTATGTGCAGCATAAAGCTTTGATAAAAGTTCAGGGGCATGACTTCCACTATTTTCTGCCAAAGTTTTTGGAAATACTTCCAATGCAGTTGCAAATCGACGTACTGCATATTGCTCTAAACCAGGCAATGCATCTGCATATGTAGCAAGTTGTGTAGCTAGTTCAATTTCCGTAGCACCAGCTCCAGGAACAAATCTTCCATCCTTTGTTATGCCTTTAAATGTATTAACTCCATCATCAATAGCTCGTTCAATATCATCCATGTAATTTTCAGTGGATCCTCGAACGATTATAGTACTAACACGGCTATCTTTACCGTGCAATGCAAATTTTACTACTATTGTATCTCCTACTTCATCAATATATACTGAATCTGAATATCCCAATTCTTCTTTTGATGGTGGAATCTAAAATAATTATCAGCAATCAGCACTTGTTTAATATTATAAAGATCCAATTGCAAGATAAAATTATTTACCAATCTTGGAAGTGCAGTAGCACCAACAGTTTTGCACAGTCTTCTAACATCAAACTTGCTAGGTATGCGAACAGCCATTAAATTATATTTATTCATATAATGTAAAGCCATATCACCAAATTTCCCTCCTGAAACAATGACATCAGCTCCGCTATCAGCTATTGCTTTTATTTGAGACTCTAACAGAGATTCCTCTCCTCTGGAAAAATTCATCAGTTCGTCTGCTGTTTTTATTAACACTGTTCCTTTAGTTTCAGTTTGCATGATATCTACAGCACATGTATAGACAGCAATTTTAGCATTATCTTTTCTTGTAACATCTCCTTCAACGTGCCGTTTAAATACCATTCCTTGGACAACTTCAGAGCTAGATATACCACTACCAAGTATTTTACAGACTCTTACATTATCTACATTAAAAGTTGTTTTTTCAGGCAAAATGGATACACAAGCTCTAGTAACAAGAGAAGTAAGAATATCTTCATTTCCAAATTGTTTACTCATAATAGATGTTTTAATTCCAGCTTTTATTTGTTTTTCATCTTTATAATCATTTACTGTATAACAAATTAATGTTGGCAATATTTGTAATGCTTTTTCTAAAGAAGCTTCATATCCTTCAATTATTTCAGAAGTGGTAATTCCCTATTACAAAACATATTTTATTACTATTATAAATACATAATTAATATTCATTGATATTAATAATTCTTATAATACTAAAGATTATACCAGACGAAGTAATTCTTCTGCTGCTTCCAAAAGTGCTCCAGCAAAAATTATAACAAAATTTGTACCATCGCCAACTTCTGCTTCTTGCATCTTTGATGCTAAAACTATTAATTTAGCAGCTGGATGTTCAACTTCCAGCTCATTAATTATTGTTGCAGCATCATTAGTGACAAATAATTTTTCAATATGATTGATAACCATTTTATTCATGCCATTTGGACCATAGGCGGTTCTTACAGTTTGTGCAAATTGTTTGCATGCTGTTATATTTCTATATACTGCTTCTTCCAAACCTGAGAAATACTGATTGAACAAACAAAAATTATTGATCACAAATTTGAGAATTTAATAAAGTTTGTGAAATTTATAATTTTATTCATGAATCAATTATTTAAAATTAAACTGACAAGTTATTGGCTAGAAACTGGTCAAAAATATCTTGGGAAATAAAAGAGCGAAAAGATTTCAATTTATTTAAAAATATTACATTTTTGAATGTAATGTAAAACATGCATTGTTAAAATGGATTATATCCATAAAAGGTAACACACTGCTGGAAGACATTTATTTTCATAAATGAGAAAATATTCGTTGAACATAGTTTATTAAAACAGTTGAGTGACATTAAAATATCCAACTTAAAACTTACACGGGCTCCTTCTTTAAGCATTTGGGCCATGCCCGGTGCTTTTGGTACATGTAAAGCCATTTTGATTAATTTTACAATTAAAAAATTTCGTTATTTCACGTGCAATTCACAACTGATAGGTTGCTTCGTTTTCCCGTCAAACACGATGTGGAATCGAGATCTTTCTTGACGTTTAACTACTAAAGCGACATCTTTTAACGAGTTTTGATAAAGTTCTATCTGGTTTTTTCATAATTTATAAAGAGTGTTTTCAAGTTTTATATTAAATACAAGTTTTTTTCAACTAAACATTCACAGTTTATATTAATTTAAGAAAATAGTTTTATATTAATATATATATACTTATTTAAACATGCTACATATTATAAAAACTCTATCGCCATTTATATCTTTGAGAAAAATCAGCCTTAAGGGATAGTCCCAATGTAAAATTAAATGTTATACATACATACATTTAGAAGCTGGTAGAAGTCATTAAGAAAGGCTTAGAAAATCATTATTAATTGGTGAAGCAACAAACATTGTAATATATAAACGAAAGTTATTGTTAACAATTGGTGAGTCAAGTTACTTTAATTACTTTTGGAAATTGTAAATTGACCTTTGATAGAAATTAAAAACATTTTATGTTTCATGTATGGTTGGTAGGAAATCCTATATTCCATTGTTATGGATATGGTGATCACAAATTTACAACAACAGCGTCAAATTACGGAGCAGCTACGTCGTGAAGCTGCTTTGAAACGAATCACAGTTAGTAAAGCTGTAGAGGATATCATGAAGTACATTACAGAACATGAACAAGAAGATTGTCTGCTAGTTGGTTTTTCATCACAAAAATCTAATCCCTTTCGTGAAAAAAGTTCCTGTACCGTTTTTTAAATTAGCATGCCTAAAATAAAAGTAAAAACAAGTTAGTTTCTTCATTAAATTTTTAAAATTTTTAATATAATTGTTTAACATTGGTATTATAAAAGCAGGAAATTGTCAGTTACGTATGTATGTATATAATTAATGTTCTTTTTCTAAAGACGTAATCAAATTTTAATCTAACTTTGTAAAACTATAATCACCTAATTGTTCTTATTAAATAGGCAAACAGTTAAACGAAGATTAATTGTATATTTAAAGAATTTCATACAAATATTTCACTATTTTGTTATTGTGATTTTATTGGCCTATAAAATTTGTATATTAATAAACAAATGTTAAATATTTCAAGTGCCTTTACGAACAAATAAATGTATGTTAGGTGATATATGAGTAAGAGTATAATTATAAAATTTATTATTGTAATAAAATAAAATGATTTTGCAAATATAAACCCTTTTTTTTATTGTATTTATTTTAAGTTAATAAAATTGAATGGGATCTCATGTACTGTTATTGTAAGTGTATGTAAGTACATACATATTTACTATAGCTAAATGAAGTACTATATACACATATATATATATATATACCGCAGTTCACCAGAGTCCATAACTGCGACGCACAGGTTGGAAGATGGTGGGGGAACGCAGCGAGCTCTCTGCTAATCGCTTTCCACTTCGTTTGGGAGTATCGCCAATCAGGGCGAAGATGCGTACTGGAGATGCGCGAAGAACGAAAATTGGTCTTTTCGTAGTTATGGACTCTGGTGAACTGCGGTATATACATATATGTATATATACATGTAAAAGGGAAGCTTGATTTCATTTTGAGTGTTTTATATTATACACAGATTGAATCTGATACTTCAAAATAATACGTTTTTATAAAATAATAATAAAATCTGTACAAAAGTATTGTGAAGAATCTTATTCGTAACAGTCTTAAAATTTATTACCGGTATGAGGTTACAAACATAACCTGAAATTAAAAAATTTAAAGTATAATTTAAAATAAAGTATATGTATATACATAAGTATACTTGCCTAAAAAATATGATTTTAAATATATTCATTAATTTCAGGTGAGATAATTACATTTTTTTGTAAATAATAAAAAATAAGTCAACACATTTTAAACATTTTTGTTCTTCTTGTTATTAATGAAGATTTTGTTTATATATATATAGATGTCAAACATGTTTTCCATGAGTTTGATAACATTAGATAGTTATCAGTCAACTCCATTGTCAGAATTAGATATAACATTTTCAGAGTTTCGTGGGACAGAAATTAAACATGTTCCTGTCATTAGAATATTTGGATCTACTCCTTCTGGTACATTATAATTTACTTACACAAAATTTATCAGTAAGTTATTATTAATCTAATTATTGTGTTTGTTCCTGTTTTAAATTTAGGGATAAAAACTTGTTTACATATACATGGTGTATTTCCATATATGTACATTCCATGTATAATGAAAAATAATGTGGACAGTTTTATGTACAAATTAGCTGCAGCAATAGATTCTGCAATTAATATATCTTTTGGATTCACAATGTCTAATACTCAACATGTTTATAAAATTCAAAAAGTTTTTGGAATGTAAGGGAGTATTACATAAATTATATATATACCAACCTAATAGATTAAAGTAACTTATTAAATAAGATATTTTTTTTAGTCCTCTTTATGGATATCATGAGAAGGAGCATTTATTTTTCAAGATTTATTTTTATAATCCTGCAATGATTAAGCGAGCAGCTGAACTGCTACAAGTAAATAATATTTATATTTATAATGATTAGTATCTTTTTATTAAGGAACATTAAGGTAATTGTAAATGTTTTCTTTTAGAATGGCACAATACTTAATCAAAGTTTCCAACCACATGAAGCTCATATTCCTTTTATTTTACAATTCATGATAGATTATAATCTTTACGGTATGAGCCTAATAAATTTAAAATATGTTAAATTCAGACAATCCATGTACACAGAATTCAAAGAAAATGAGAACTCGCTAAGTTTAGCTGATTCACAAAAATATCTTCCTATATCTATTATTAGACAGAGTACCTGCAAATTAGAAGCAGATGCACAGGCAACTGAAATACTCAATAGAGAAGACATCCAAAATGGTTTAGATTTAAATCCTGGTATTGCAGCAATTTGGAATGAAGAAAAATGCAGAAGAGATGCAAAAGGTTTACAAGATGCTGGGTCACAATTATTATATTCAAATGCTGATAGCAGAATTTATGGTTTAACAGAAAATGACATTTATCAAGAAGAAAAATTAGTACAGAAACTACAGTTCGTTTCAGAGGTATAGCATTTAGATTCATATTTATGAAAATAGTAATTCATTTTAACTTATTTTATATGCTCGGTTTAGATTAATGACAGCGTTACGCCTATAACACCCAAAACAGTTAGTTATCCTTTGGAAGTAGAAAACGAAGATAGCTTGCTTAGTACTTCAGATATTTTACATCATTTTAAACCATTGATATCAAATAAGGAAAGTAAGGAAGGAACACTTTTTAATCATGAATTGTTACAGTTTGAGAAATCTACAGTCGAAGAAACTTTACCTCAAGATAAAAATATAGAAACTAGTACTTGTAAGTAACAATTTGAATCATTTTCTCTTTTAGAAGCATTCTATTTTACTAAAATTTTGTATATTTCATATATAGTGGATTCAGAGGATATGCATTTAGTTGAAATATTAGCTAATTTAGCAGAAACAAATGAAGAAGAAAAGATTGTAGATGATGATAGTATGCTAGCTTCTCAGTTTTCTACATTTACTAATCAGATTAAAGAAGATAGCGAAGATGATGAAATTGAAAACTTAAATATCACAAGTTTAGATTTAGATAGCCTTAGTTCATGGAATTCAGCTGCTAAAGTTTCTAATCAAATAAGTACATCTAAAATTGAAAATAAAAATATTGATGATCATACGGAAACAGATTGCAGAATTGAAAAAAATGTGAAACGTTCTTTGTCAATAAATATTCCACAGTATGATGGTCCAAGCGATCTGTTTTTAAAAAATAAATCTGTTTCGAAGTTCAGTGTACTAGATACAGTATTATTAAAATATTTTAAGATTTGGCAAAAGAGAACTCGTGAATTAAAGAAGAATCGAACAAAAACAATGCAAACTATTAAACAAGGATTATTATCTTATAAAAATATGTCATACAAACATGCATTACATCATCAAGATTTAGACGTTTATGATATAGATGAAATTGAACATAAATTATCAATAACTAATTATGTTAATGTACAACATAAAGTGTCTCATGAAATCAACACTAATCAAATTAACTATGATAAGAAGTTGCATTTTATGATTAATAATAATCTAGATAAATTAAAAATACCAGCATTTGATGGTAATGTTGATAGTTCTAGTGAATCTGACGTAGATCAAGATGTTACTATTGAGGTACAGGAAAAAAAAATTTGTACTTATAAATCAGATACAAAATCCAGAAATGAAAATAATGTTGACGATTCATTGAAAAAACGAAAAATTGAATTTTACATCTCTGATGTAGAATTTTCCCCCAAAAAAGTAAGAATGTTACAAAATCCTTCGTCATTATCAAAAAAATATACTCCTCTCAATGTTAAAATAATATCTCCCAAAAGAGATAAACGTATTAATGAAAGGAATTTTATAATAAATGAACCGTGTAGTTCAAAATCTGCCTGTAATACTCCAAAACGGAAAGGAACAGAAGAAAGTAAGCATTTATTTATGATTATTTTTTGTTATCAACAAAATACACATTATTAATCGTTTTTAGAATATCCTACACGTAACACAAGTGGAAATGCTAATGAAGTACTCCTGCTTGACGATGTCAGTGATAGGTAAGTAATATATTTTTACTTTGTATAAATATAACTTTTCTGTAAAATTTGTCATGTACTTTCAACATTTATAGTACAGGAACATATAAAGAGTCCATTGATTTGGAAACGGAACACTACAATGATGCATCGAAAATAAAATCTTTAATACATACTGCTTTTAAAAGTAATAGAGAGGTTCGTAAAAAATTAAATTTTATGAATGAAAAAGTAGCTGATCGTATAAACGATGATATTGAAGAATATCATTTTGAAAATTTGCCTTTAACAGAAGCAGTAATAAATAAGGTACATAAAAATAGTGATTCTCCCAATATTTCTGAAATTTACAACGAAAATTTGATAAAAATCTTGTATAAAACACAAGATGGAAAAGTGCATCATGAATATGATATACCAAATACATCAAAACAAAACATAAATACGTACGTAGATGATTTAAAAAATGAAACACTGCAAATAAATGAAAACGATGAAGATGAAGAGGATATCTGTAATATGACTTACACACAGTATCTTAATAGGAAATTAGAGATTGAATCAAATACTCCAACTCCATTATCATTAGATGTTACGAAAAGGAGATTAATTACTATTATTACCAAATTTAATCCACCGAGCAAAGAAAGAATTATAAATAGTATGAAAATATATGGTTGTTGCAGATCAAAATCTGTTGCACCGTTTTTCAGTAATAAGGTTGATCTTATAAAACAGAAAGAAAACTCAAACAAAATTAATGATGTAGTTCCATTTAAGTGTTGTTTAGATAGAGTTACGGGTATTAAGATCTGGCGTAGAGTGAAAATAAACGAATTTTATCCTTCTGGTTCGAGCATAAAATCTTGTAACATAAAAAGAGTTCTTGCAGGATACAATCCATTAATTATTCATTCTCTTATTCATCCACCATCACCAAAAAATGTTAAAACTTGGTTGCAAGCTAAAAAATATTTATTAAAAATAGAAAGCAAACATAAAGTAATAAAGGATAGAAGAATCGATATAACAGGGAATCTAGTTAATGAAACATGCATTGATGATGCACATGAAAAAAAGAACTCTCCAAATTCTCATAATTCACAACATTCAAATAGATCTAATGATTCTGTCAACTCTTCTTTACGAAAAATGCTTGAAAATCCATTGTTATATAAAAATATTGTTACCCAACAATATTTAGGTATTTCATATGGACAGATAGAATATACTATGAAAGATCACAGTGGTAATGTTGCAGATGAAAATCTTAAAAATGCTCGAGGCTTAACTACGGTAGTTACTTTACATAGAAAATTGACGTTATCAAATAATACATTTTTAGAGTCTTATATTTTAATTATTACAGCATCAATTTTTAACAATATTATCAGTGGAAGTACATGTTATTACACAGGGTAAACTTCTCCCTGATCCTGAATATAATACAATTGGAGCAATTTTTTATGCTGTTTACGCTGACATTCCATCATCTCCAGATGTGGAACAAATGGAACATGGTACACACAGAAATGCTATTGTTTTTTTCTTTTTAAATATTAATGACTAAAGCATAA